CTCTTCGGGCGCTTCCAATTCTCCCTGCGACTCCTCTGCTGGTAAGGTAGGGAGCTCTTCGGGCGCTTCCAACTCTTCAGGCGCTTCCAATTCTCCCTGCGACTCCTCTGCTGGTAGGGTAGGGAACTCTTCGGGCGCTTCCAACTCTTCAGGCGCTTCTAATTCTCCCTGCGACTCCTCTGCTGGTAAGGTAGGGAACTCTTCGGGCGCTTCCAATTCTCCCTGCGGCTCTTCCAATGGGAGGGTAGGCAACTCGTCCAATCCGCCCAACGGATCTGCTGCAGGGAAGGGAGCGGGAGGCGCCACATCCTGTGCTCCCAATACTTCCTGCAGTTCTTCCGCGGAGTACACGGCATTCTTCGCTTTCCCCTGCTGCCCTGCTGCATGTCCCTGTTGCCCTCCGGCCTGAAAACCAGGCTGCTGAAATCCAGGTTGCGGAAAACCAGGCTGCGGAAAACCAGGCTGTTGCAAACCAGGCTGCGGAAAACCAGGCTGCTGAAAACCAGGCTGCTGAAAACCAGGCTGCTGAAAACCAGGCTGCGGCAAACCAGGCTTAGGAAAACCAGGCTGCGGAGAACCAGGCTGTTGCAAACCAGGCTGCGGAAAACTAGGCTGTTGCAAACCAGGCTGCTGAAAACCAGGCTGCGGAGAACCAGGCTGCGGAAAACCAGGCTGCGGAGAACCAGGCTGCTGAAAACCAGGCTGCGTAAAATCAGGCTGCTGAAAACCAGGCTGCGCACTTGCACGCGGCGTATCCTCATCGTCGTCCGAAGGCAATTCTCTCCGGCCTAGGGAAAGTCCCGGGCGAGTGTGTTCAACATGCTGTGAGCCCGCCGCTTCTTCATCCTCTTCAGTAAAATTATTCGCCACCTGGTCCAGCGCGTCCGACAATGCCTTCGCACTACGGAAACTATCCTTGGTCCAACATCTCTCAAGGATGTCACCCAGCCACAAACCCCGCGTTTTCGGGAGCATATTCCTCTTCGGCCAATGCAGTTCCCCAGCGCCCATCGCGAGGTTCTTGAACTCATAAAAGTCCGATTTTTCACCCGTTATAACCTCCCACATGACTATGCCCAATTGCCCAATATCCGTCTGTACGGTGTTATCATCGTCGTTGACGGTTTCCATGTCGGTGCCCAAAGGAAAGAGAAGGGAGCTGGCGAAATCGGAGTACTTGACAGTGGCATGGATATCGAGCAGGAAGTTACGCTGGGCGATGTCGACGACGAGAACGCATCTCCCATGGATTTCCATGAGCCCGCGAGCCATGTGGCGGAACCAGAGCAGCATGCCCCCTTTCGATGCCGGTGCTTCCTTTTTCCGATACATGAGGAGGTTGCCGTTGATCATCTCCTTGAGAGCAAGCGAGTTTTGGCTGTAATTGATCATTGGGACGACCGATACGCATCCCTTAAGCCGCTGGTAAACTTTTATTTCGTGTAAAAGGGACTTGAGATTCTCTAGCACGTAGTCGGGCTGGTCTTGCCGCCGTCGGAGAGGCATCTTGTACACAGCGTTGTCTCCTCCACGAATCACGAGGCCTGTGCTCCCTCTGCCTACGATCAAATGCTGGGGCCACTCATCCACATACTTGATGCCCTTAAGGATTGCATAGGGGTCTTCTTCCGCCATTGTGTCAAGGATAGCGTTGTAAAACCAAAGATGTCTGAATAGAGATAAAATAGCTCCTGAGTTCCAGAAGATCAGAGAATCAAGCCTGACGAAGAGGAGGAAGTGGGTGAAGTCAGGCGGCGCACTTTGCTCAGTGTCCTCCGACGGACAGACTTGCACCTTCCCAAATCAGTCTGCCATCTTCATCTCGGACATGGTTTCAATCCACCAAGCGCAGCCTGTAATGTTAGTCTTTCTGAGGCGTCTTTCTTACTCGAACGATTGACAGGACCTTCGTTTCTCGGGCATTGTAACTTTGCGCCAGATACTGAATCAATGGAACAACCGATACCGTGCGAGGTCGAGTCTTTGTACGTATCAGCAGCAAGGGCTGCCCGCGCTTGACAAAGTACCGGTAATCCTGCGGGGAGGAGTCAACAAAGAGATAGATCCATAGGCATGCATTATAGAGGCATTGAGAGAAGCACCCCAAGGCTGAGTAACATCATCCAAAAATGAGGCAAGGAAACAAGTATATTAGGTAATATCTAACCAGCTAATCCATAAAGAAAACAAGGAACAACAAAGAAGAGAGAAAATGAGCGTGATACCCAAGCAGTAAAGAAAAGTAAATGCCGTTGAAGACAGGAAGAAAGTCATGTGAGGTTCAGTTGATAAAGCCTGGAAGCGTTAAGGCATGAAAGGAAAGTACATGCTGTAGTCCAATCAAAGAAGATCCGATTCCCACCAAGTAAGAGCCAAGTCGCGTGACGCCGAGACTCCAAGCCCTAATTCCAGTTTCGTTTCAATTTGCTCATACTCGGCCTACTGCATGGGGTCGTTCTTGATGGCGCCGCTAGTGCAGATAGTTCCCGCTGCCACGTTGCCCATGGGTACGGGTGAGCCCTGGTCGCAGAGCGACCAGCTGCCGCCGTCCTCAGAGCAGATGATAGTGCCGGGGACGCAGGGGGTGTCTTCGGCGTCATCGGGGAGCTGAGGGCTCTCGGTTGGAGCTACCTCACCGGATGTGGCGACGGGGGAGGATTCGGGGGATGACACTGGATCAGGTGAAGGAGATGACGAAGCAGCGGCGGAAGAAGTCAGCGGCGCGTCGGTGAGCGGAGTAGAGCTGGAGCTGGAGCTAGAGGAGGCCGCAGTGGCAGACGTGCCGGAGCTGGAGACGCCGCTGTTGGGAGACATGGAGGTGCCCAGGAAAGGAGCGGTGCCGGAACAAGTGTAACCGGTGCCAGTGAGGCTTCCTTCAACAGAAGGCCCGGGTAGAGGGAAGTTGACCTCCTGGCCTTCGATTGTAGTGCACTGGCCGGGGCCGTTGACGTTGGCAATGAAAATTGGTGGGAGGCTGCTGAACGCGTCCCTCTTGGAGACGGCGATGAGTCCTTCCTTGCGAGCGGGGCTCTCAACCGTCACCTGGGCGCAGTTCATGTACATCTCGCGGTTGCCGATCTTGTTGAACCAGGTCCAGGCCAGAAGAGCCTCGCCAGAGGGGGCGTCGGTGGGAATAGTGAACTCGTAGCTTTGCGTGATGGGGCAGCCGCCAAGCATGGAGTGGATGACTTGAAATGTTGCGCCGTTGTCGTAGGAGAGCGAGATCTGGCATGAACCTCCGCCGTGGGTGGCGCTGCCGGCGAGCTCGAGGTTGTACGTTTGACCGGGGCTGTAGGTGGCGACGGAGGTGAAGGGGTCATTTTGGTAGCCCTTGCAGGGGAAGTCTGAGCCGGAAGTGGACAGAGGGTTCGTGTATGAGTAATCTTTCACGGCGTTTGCTGCGTTCAGAGGGCTGCGGATCGGGTAGGGGTTGGACATTTGGATGTGCCCGTAGGCGGATGAGGCCAGAAGGGCTGCGGTAAGGAAAAATTTCTGCATATTGATGGCGATTGGATTCAAATGAGTGTTGTGCTTTTCGAAGAATTGGCAGCACCAGGCTGTGAAATCGAAGCAAGTTTGTAAGTGTCTGGAGAGGTCAAGTTAGAGGTGTGGGTTGGCTCCAAGGGGTCTTTATACTTCTGATATAACACTGGTACGTACCTGATCGTGATCAAAGAAGAGCAGCCCTAGAAAGAGTGACAATGGTCAATGGTCTCAATACAAAGAAGAGTTCTGTAACACAACTTGTATAGCCTGAATCCCAGAGAGGAGGAAAAGAGGATGCCAATGCTGCAGGACCATGGATGTAGACAGGATCCTCTTAAATAAATGCTCGTCGGCCATTGGTATGAGAAACTTTCTCAAACAAGGACGCTGAATGCCATGGCGTGTCCATCTGGACAACGGGTTGTCAGGCCTGACCATCACGCGAGGAATGTTAAGGTTGGCGTAAACAATGGACATAGTACAAAGAAGGCCGTCACATGGTGGGATAATAAAGAGATGCTCAACTGAGGAAGAGCTTGGTTATGACACTACAGCTCACAAGACTGTTTCAAAACCTTTCAATGATGGATTGCTCTTTGTTGAAAGCTGCTCAGTGAGGTCAGTCTCATACAATGAACGTGCGCCGAGGTTTCAGAACCGCCATTGTCAAAGACAATACAATAGAATAGAGTTTGATGCCGCTGATGTAATTGGAATTTGCATGAGAGAGGCTGGATTCTGGAATGATATTGCCAGAGGAAACACTGCTCTAAGTCTATACAGAAGGCTGGCTAGTGACATAGGTAAGGCTGAATGAATGACTTCGGCCTCGCTAGAAAACCCGCCACGCTAAGCTTCTCGCGTCTTCGCGGCGTTCGCGCCCGCGCCTCAAGCCTCTTCGTAACCCAACCAACGCAGGGGCAAGGCTTGTTCGAACCGCGCCAACCTCCGCATCGCTCATTTTTATTTCTTTGCGTCATCTCGCTTCTCCATCTTCGATCTCCGATCTCGATCTTTACCCATTCCCACTCAATGCGCACCATGGTGCACCGGGGTCATCGCGTCTCTGACTCTCCTGCTTGAACTATTACTATCTTTCTATCCTCATCTGCCTCTCTATCGGGCTGAATGTTCATACGCCGTCTCCCCCAGGAGAGGTTTGTCCAGCATGCCGTCCGTTTCCCCAGCGCCGTGGAATCCGGCCCAGCCCGGTTTTGCCACACCTCTCAAACGCTTCGGTCATGGATGACGGTGGCGATCCCGATCGCCGCTGTAAGCAAGCCGGATCTCACCTCTCACTGTCGTGCTTATAGCGTGGCAGCTCCTTTGTCACATTCCTCACTAAGCCGATCTGTTTCAAAGCTTACGACGACAATTACAACCCCTTCGGCCCGATTCACAGCTCGGTCGCTGAGCTCATCCCACGCAATGGCAGCAACCCCCGCACCGAACACACCAGTGAAAACGGAGGATGAACAGCTTGGGGATTCTCTAGAAGCTGGCAACTCGGGTGACACGCGTAATGGAAAGATTGTAGCCGCGCCAATCGATCCCGAGTCGGACGAGGATGTGCCGGTTGAGGCCGAAGAGCTTCAGGAAGCTCTTGCACGGCCGCCGCCCGTCAACAGCAGCTACCTCCCCCTTCCCTGGAAAGGTAGACTGGGTTATGTGGGTAACACTTTGGGACAGTACGAACTTCATCTAATCGCTGTACTTCCTAGGCCTGCCTGAATACCTATCTTCGTTACTCAAACCCACCCGTTTTCTGCTCCCGCACTTGCCGCATAGCTTCAATTCTCGAGAACCGACATCCGCTTGCAGACCCCTCACAACCGCCTCATGCCACAAAAAACCGACCGGACCAGTCACAACCGCCTGATGTCGCGAGAGGCCAAGCGTACGTGGAGGCTTTGGGGTTAGCGAATGCTCGTGACCTGCTGAAGCTGATACGTTGGAACGACCGGTATGGAATCAAATTCATGCGCCTCAGCAGTGAGATGTTTCCGTTTGCAAGTCACAAAGAATACGGTTATAAGCTAGCACCCTTTGCCTCCGAGGTGCTGGGCGAGGTTGGACGTCTCGTGGCAAAGCTTGGCCATAGGGTGAGCGTGCATCCAGGCCAGTTCACTCAGATAGGGTCTCCTAGAAAGGAAGTCTTGGAGAATTCGATCAGGGACTTAGAGTACCACTCGGAGTTGTTGCAGCTGCTTAAATTGCCTCCGCAGCAAGACCGTGACGCAGTGATGATCCTCCACATGGGCGGTGTCTTTGGCGATAAGGAGGCGACCCTGGATCGGTTCCGCGAAAACTACCAGAAACTTTCGCAGGACATCAAAAATCGCCTGGTGTTAGAGAACGACGATGTGAGCTGGTCAGTGCATGATCTGCTCCCTATATGCGAGGAGTTGAATATACCGCTGGTTTTGGACTACCATCATCACAACATCATCTTCGATTCCTCTCAGGTTCGTGAAGGGACTTTGGATATCATGGGTCTCTATGACAGGATCAAGGCTACGTGGGCAAGAAAGAATATCACACAGAAAATGCACTACTCTGAGCCTACGTCTGCCGCCATCACCAATCGTCAGCGTCGGAAGCACAGTGACCGCGTCCGGGTTCTCCCTCCCTGTGATCCTGCCATGGACCTGATGATTGAAGCCAAAGATAAGGAGCAGGCCGTTTTTGAGTTGATGAGGACGTATAAGCTTCCGGGACATGAGCTCTTCAACGATATTCTGCCTTATGTCCGCACCGACGAGAATAAGCCGTTCAAGGCGCCGCGGAAGTCGAAGAAGAAGAACGGCGATTTCGTCGACCTCGAAGCCCAGGTGCCGCCTCCCAAGACTGTGCCTGAAGAAGAAGTCGGTATGGGCGGTCCTGAGCGCAGGGTCTATTGGCCGCCGGGAATGGAAGAATGGCTCAGGCCGAAGAAGATCGTACGGACCAAAGCGCTCAAAACTCCCAAGTCGTCCAAGAAGGCTCCACCGCCCGAGGCAGATGTCGACGTTGATGCTGCTCCCGCTACGCCCAGCACCCCTACAAAGTCTGCCAAAGCCGCTGAACGGCCATCAACTACGAAGAAGCGAGTTAGCAGAAAGCGCAAAGCCTCGCCTGATCCATCTACCCCATCAGCGTCTGATGTTGAACCTTCTGATGATGCTAAGCCGGCCAAATCGCGGGCTAAAACTGATGGAGTTCGTCGGAGTCGACGAACGACCACGGTTAACTATGCGGAAGACAGCGAATCTGCTGGTTAATACGGCCTCACCTTCGACTTAGATAGTGTACTATTCTGTTTAAGTTCTCGAAGAACCAATCTGATTCGCACTTCTCTCTCAGTTTTTCCTTGCCCGCCTCTCAGTTTTTCCTTACCTGTGAGTCAATATTGATGTTTTGGCCCCTTCTTTGTTTAGAAAGTTTGACCCTGGCCGCTCCTTCCTCATTCTTCACTTTCGACCAAGGCCCATCTTCTCTCGCATCTTCTGTCGTTTCTTTTCACTCTCCCAACTTTACGACAATTTCAGATTTCGCTCGTTTCCTATCATTCTTATCTGAAATCGTCGCATCTTAGCCCTCTATTTACATCATCTTATCAATTTGTAAGTGAAAAGCGTCCGTCCATGGTCCAGTTTTGATACTAACACAAGTTTAGTCGCCCCTCCCTCGACTCAACCGTCTCGAATTTCACGAGCGCCATGGCGCCAGCCAGCTGCGACATCCTCGGGGTCGACTATGAGAAAGAGTATCTGCAAAAAATGGACCAGGTCACCACCAAAATGGCCGGGGCCTTGGGCTTCAAGGACACTGCCGGACTCTGGGACCTGTATTTTAATGACAGCTCCACTCGAGCCATCCTAGATGCTTGGCTCGACGTACGGGATAACAAGTTTGGAAGGCCACAACTCAAGCCTTCCTACATGACCTTGCGCCCGGCTGTGGTCAATAAGGCGTTCGACCATGCCGTTCACTCCATAATAGCCGGCCCGCAACAACCAGCTATCGGATTCGGCACCAACGGCATTGACGAGAAGTCGCTCGCACCCCTCACTTGCCTCTGGTTCTCGGTGCAACTGATCAAAGCGAAGCCGGATCTCTTCTCTCGAACCCGGATCGACGGTTTAACGTTCCACCCGGACCCATACGACATGACGCATGCCTATAAATTGCTATCATGGATCTACCGGAAGAAGAAGGGAAGCAAAATTCCCATCCGGAAACCCCATGCTGTTGCGGCCGAGTCACCGGTCTACTTCCTTGACGCCATCCGTGAAGCCACTACAGTGGGACCGGATCGCTCGGTTGAAGACTTATTTGGAATGACCTCACTCGAAGCAAGTCGAGCCGCAGAGAATGCGGTAGCAGTGGCTAGCGCTGATCGTGACGACGATGCTGTCAAGACTCCTAAGCTCAATGTGTTCGAAGAGATTGTGAACGCGGTCTACAGCGGACAATCGGGAAGGAATGTTGACGCCCCACGCCCCTGTCTACCTATCGATCGCTTGAATCTCTTGAAGCATCTCATGGAAATGGATCGGTTCAAGGATGATTGCATCTCATGCGAGGATATTTCTTCTGAGTTGATTCCAACTACTACTATGAGTGGGAGACTTGACCCTGTTTCATCAGAGTCAGTCTCAAATACCGCTCCAATTTCCCTGGCATTGGACCTCCTCCTGAAAGGTCTAAAAGGTTCGACCACCATCGGCCCAGGCATTCCCGCTTGTCAAATATCTACGATTGAGCTCGTCAATCCAGAACGAATCCAAGCAATTCACGACAAGCGTTATGCCCAGCTGATTCCGGATCTGCAACCCGCCATAGTCAGGCTTGGTGACGGAAGCCACGCGCATAGGTGCGCCACCCTGCGCCTCTGCCTACTAGCATTTTCCACAAGACTCGACCAGTTTGTGTCACGCATCAACGCCGAACACGACCTAGTCGACAAGCTTCGTGACTACGCAAAGAAAGAGGACCGAGGCTTTGCGTTATTCTACGCTAGCACCACGCTAGACCCGGCCGTGCCTATGCCCTCGATCCCTTCCCTGCAAGCATCCTATCTTGCGATGGATGCCCCGAAGCTGAGATATTTATTCAAAATTTTGCACGACGAAGGTGCTTTTGAGACGACATCCACACGCCGCCCCCGTTTCATGGTCATTGCCAATTGGCAACCGGTACTGTGGATGACGGAGATGTTCCTCAACTCACTTTCGATACCATTCGTCACTGTATGGTTCTCGCCATCCATGACGACAAAGGAACGCAGAGAGGCTATCAAACCTTTCGCGTCATCAAAGAGCCGCTGTCAAATCCTTCTTACGAATTTCAACGTCAAGCTCGAAGCGCTCAACCTTCACAAAATCTGCTCGCGGATGATTATCATGGAGCCACCGCCAGACCTGCAAAGAGTATTCGAAGCCATCGGCAGTATTCATCGCGTCGGCCAGAAAGAACGCCAGCGGGTCTGGCTTCTTTTCCAAAACCGCACGTTCAATCGCCGGATGGAGGCTCTTAGCACGCGCAATGCACTGCCTTGGATAGCTGAGCAGATGGAGAAAAGCAAGGCCATGACCGAAAAGGTCAACAAGAAATCTGCGGAATTGGAACTTTCGCGTGTGCTTGGAAGGTCCCGCCGGTTCTCGGAATTTGCGGACTGGAATGTTTTAGAGCATTGTGATTGTCAATCAAGTGATTTTAAATCACCAACCTTAACTCATCAAAAGCGCCCAGCATCTTTTCCGCGGCGGCAGTCTGTAAAAAGGGGGAAGTTATTGTGAAGAAAGTTATAATTACAAATTACATGTACCTACTTTAGATAACAATCCATTAGTTTATAGCTAATTGTTAATCAAGTGATTTCAAATCACCAACCTTGACTCATCAAAAGCGCCCAGCATCCTTTCCACAGCGGCAGTTTGTAAAAAGGGAGAAATTATTGCAAAGACGGGTATAACTACAAATTAAATGTACCTACTTTAGATAATAATAGTTTATAGAGCATTGTGATTGTCAATCAAGTGATTTTAAATTACCAACCTTGACTTATTAAAAGCGCCTAGCATCTTTTCCACAGCAATGGTTTGTAAAGAGGGAGAAGTTATCACGAAAACAGTTATAACTACCAATTACATGTACCTACTTTAGATATAATAGTTTATGGCGCTGCATGGCAGCAGGCATTATCGAAATGCCCACCTTCATGTTTTAGCTAGTTCATTATTCTACTTTTACAATGAAAACTTACCTGTCAATGCTTTTTCTGTCTTTCCTACGAAGCGCGTAGTCTCCCCTCTACCGTAGACTCGGGCAAAGAAAGTGCCTAGTCGTGAGACAGTTGGTGAGTGACGGCGTTACTACACAGCATTTATTTAGATTTGAAATCAGCTGTGGTCAAAATATTAGTCGGCAAGTCAAAAAGTGCTTTTCCGAAAAGCCGAGGAAATTATGTAAGATACGGAGTAGCGCTTTGTCATTAGCTCTAGGTTCAAATGTGATTGTGTTGTGGTCCAATCTGGTGAGTGATGAAATACGGTACTATGGGCTTCGTAGAATCGCCAGGAGGATGATCCGAAACGTCACCGATCTGATCTCAGTTCTTCCCCACAATGATTCTAGCAACAACCCAACGCGAGCAATCCAATACCCCCAGCTGTATTGATTGTGCTCTCTATTCGCCCTATTACAGCGATAGAGTCCACTGCCCGTGCCTAGCATCCGCGCCTAAGTAGGACTTGTTGAAGCGCATCCTCGGTTCGTCGCCGTCTCAGCCGCTGTTGCCTTGAGTTCGACTCCGGCGCAAACAAGCACCAACTTGGAGCTACACTAACCAACCCCTGAAAAGCTAGATTACTCGAGTAGAGCGCCCTGACTTACCGAATCTATTCTTTCGAGTCTATAGCTTCCCCGAATCTGGCTCCGAAACCCTTCCTCCGTCGCTGGCGCCCGCCGCCTAACTCCGTGAAGTGGCCAGTGCCGCACCAGCCCTTCCCTCACCCTCGTCGCTTCCCAAGCCAGAAACCAAAAGGCAAACTCTCCCAGCTTCTCCGTCTTATCTTCGGACCCCACGCCGGCCTCCGCGCACATCTCCGTCTTTGGAACTTCCGACACGAGACCATCCCTGCGGTTCGACACCGGGCGCAGGCGAAAGTATACCGAGCGCTTCTTCGACACCAGGCGAGACTTGAGAAGCGGACAAGGGTGGGAAAACTAGGTCTTACAGAGCTCTTTCGAGGGAAACGGCGGCGCCGAGGGGTGAGCGGCCTTGTCGGGGGCCTGCTGGTGCCGTTTGAGAAGGCAGCGCACGCGGCGGGGAAAGCGGAAGCCCCTCGAGGTGGGAAGCGAGCTGTCTCAATGTCTGATTACGGATCGTCTTCGTCTTCGACATGGAGTAGCGGCTATGGATACAATAATGGGCGGGAGCGGGGAGCGCGGCGGAAGAAGGTCTTTGAGTACTTGAAAGCCGCGAACGAGCTGCGGCAGTCGTATGCGGCGTCGTGGACGGCTCAGCGGAATGCGACGCGAGATCTGGGTGATGAGTATATGAATACGCCTGGTGCGTTTCCTGATGTTGAGATTGCGAGGTCGGGTGATGAGGAGATGGTTATCTTTCCGAGCTATGCGAGGCGGTTGGATCAGGATCGAATCGCGGCGCAGAAGATGCGCAGGCGGGAGTCGTTCGACTCGCTTGATGAATACCGGGGGTATGATGGGACGAGGGAACGCGAAGAGGAGTGGGATCGGTTTGAGGACGAGGATGCTGTCGTTGCGGTCGACGTTCGGGGCTGGGTATATGCGCCTTATCGTGGGCCGATGACGAGGAAGCAGCGGCTGGTCGTTGCTTTGGCTCGACGGTTGAGTGGTGTACCTGCGCCTGTGAACAGTGAGACTGGTCTCGATGGGACTCAGGATGATGATCGCATACCGCGTGTTACAGAAAAGAGGGAGGAGGAGATTGTTGATTCGGAGGCCCAATTCATCATAAAGAGTGCCGACAAGCGGAATGAGATGGACTTGAAGGCCGCTTCAGAAGGGCTAGAAGAAGAGACCGTCCGACTGCCACAGCGGACTCCAACGACCTCATCGGCTCAGTCTTCCTCCACGCAACTGACCAAGGATGAACTTTCCGTCGCCAACGGTCACCTCGTGGAGCGGATAAAACCTTTCTTGTCGAACCCCATGGCTGGGATGGCGGTGACCGTCTTCTTTTTCAACGAAGAAAACAGCCAGTCGAGGAATATAATGACTAACGATTCAGGCCATTTCTCCATCCGAGCGTCGCTTTCCTTCGTTCCTACTCATGTTCGCGTCCTCGCATCCGAGGACCTCTCTGCCGTGAAGAACGTCGAGATCATCGAACCTACCGGTGTCAGTTTGATCAGTGATATCGACGACACAGTAAAGCATTCTGCCATTGCGAATGGAGCGAAGGAGATGTGCCGGAATATCTTCGCCCGCGAGCTGTCCGACCTGACTATCGAGGGTGTCACGGATTGGTATAATGCACTGGTCAAAGCAGGTGTACAGATACATTACGTCTCCAACTCCCCGTGGCAGCTGTACCCACTGTTGGATCGCTTCTTCAAAATGGTTGGACTCCCGCCTGGATCGTTTCATCTGAAGCAGTACAGCGGCCTATTCCAAGGCATTTTTGAACCTACGTTGGAGCGGAAGAAGGGGAATCTCGAGCAGATCCTACAAGACTTCCCTGACCGGAAGTTTATTCTCGTTGGCGACAGTGGAGAGTCCGATCTGGAAGTGTATACTGATCTGGTAATGACCAACCCGGGTAGGATAATCGGCGTATTCATTCGCGATGTGACTACGCCCGAGCGGACGACATTCTTTGAGAAGTCCGTCAACCACCTAGAGAACACACCAAATCGTCCCAGCAGCATTCCTGAGCTGGCTGACCACTCCGATTCGGCACCCAACCGACCTACACTACCACCACGGCCGCCGCGTACATCCTCAGCCCCTGCTGTGGAGGCTAATTCCGCAGTAACAGGGGACTTGATTGACCTTTCCGAGGAACCCGAAAAGCCCGTCAACACACGAACGCCGCCTAGTGTGCCTTCGAAGCCTTCTTCTCTCCGCTCAGTTACAAACACCGCCGATTTGCCGCCAAGGGAAGCCATTAAGCGGAAGCCTGTGCCCCCATTGCCAAGGCGCAGCGCAGGAAACCTGCAAACTTCTGGTGAAACTGGACCTCCGCGCCGCCCATCCCTGGGAGATGTGAGTGACTCTAGCGTAAATCGAGGCCGCCCACCAACCCACAACCGGATTGCTGGGTTGCAGGAATTTGGCGGCGATGGTGCGGGAATATCGAAACCAGCACCGCCTCCTCCACCCCCTCGTCGGACCAACACCGGCGCTTCACAAATGAGCATGAGCTCGAATCGTCCGATTTCTGAACGACAACCACGCTTCTCTGGTTCCACCCCATCGTCACGATCTTCTTCACCAGGCCGTCCTTCCGCATTTCCCGGCGGGCCCGGTACTCTCCGATCTCCTGCCTCAAATATTTCCCTCGGCCGAAGCAGTACCAGCAATCCTGACTCTCCAACCCCGTCACGAACCTCTTCGATGAACTCGGCAGCCCCACCCAGAGCGCCTTTACCAAACAAACGGGAGGAACTTTGGCGAAGGCGATGGGAAAGAGCTAGCGGGATTCTAGCCGATAAAGGCGTTGTTCTGGGAAGTTGGCGCGTTGGTAAGGATGTACAAGATGTCAGTCTCTGGCTTGTGAAAGAAGCGATGAAGGAGCCTTCTATGTCTGAAAAGGTGGAGGAGGCCTTGCAGGAGAGGGAAAGTAGGCGAGACTCATGATGCTACTTTTACTCTGTAAAGTTTGTACGGTTATGTTAGGCTAGAGGTCTATAGAAGTATCCTGCAGCTTATATACTTATGAACCATGATCAAGGCGCAGTAGATAATATCATGTGTAGTCCCTCCGGATTCTGTCGCATACCTACCTAATCTCATCCGCGCTTCCGGTGTGATTTCCAATCGTCGACCGCCCCTACTTGCTCTAGCCGTACTCCATACATAACCCACCTTCCTCCACCCCGCCAGACTCATTTTCCTACCTGTCTGATCTAAGGGTTAATACTGATTTCTCGGTTATCGTGATATCCCTACCCTAGCAACGCAATAGCTGCTCTGCTATATACATGCATACCCATGTGGACGCTACGTATACTATACGCATACTTAGAGAGCCGACAGCGCATCCCATGTACGTCTGCGCAGTGAGCACACGGACCCTCGTCAACGTATATGCTGCTGCAGAGAAGAAATCAAGCGCGTGTGGTTATACGAGCATTGACGGCTTGACGTTGACCTGCTGCGTAACGTATGCAGATACAGGGACAGGGGTACGCATAGAAAGAACGGGGGTTATTACGTATAGCATAAGAGGCCTGCTATGAGCTAGGTACCTAGCCCGGGGTAGAGATCAGAGTGACCTCAGATATAAGTGTAAGGCGAGTATGGTAAGTAGAGGTAAAGGCAGGGATCAAATCACGGCATCACAGTATCCATGTTTCGGAAGCATGGTATGGTACCGGCATAGGGTATTTCCAAGTTGCTACCATGAACTCTGCCTAATTATCCTTATCCTGATCCAGTCCAGTTCAACCTAACTTAACTAGACTGCCCGGGTGATATCAAACCTGCACTTGCACGTGCCTTTTCGAAAAAGCCATCTCCAACCTCCCAAAATAAATAACAAAGTTATCCTTCGCATGCGCCAGGAACCTGCTTCCGTCTTCGCCCGGCGCAAAATCCACGTCGAACTCCATGATCAGTTGCGCGAGGGTTACGCGCAGGTTCATTAGCGCCAGGGGGCGGCCGATGCAGTTGAAGTGGCCTGGGAGCAGTGTTATTGTTAGAATGGAAGTGGGTGTTGGATGAGTATGGGGTGTAGAGTAGAGGGGAGGGAGGAAAAGGGGAGGGAGACGGAGACGGAGACGGACCAAGACTAAACGGCGCAAAGGCGCCCTTGTGCCGGATGAGCTCGGGCTTGGTGGACCAGCGCTCGGGGATGAATTCGTGCGGTTGGGCGTAGGCTAGTTCGGCTGGATGGAATGTATATCAGCTCGGCTCAGCTCAGCTCGGGGGACTAGATCCCCATTCCAATCCCAATCCCAAGGAAAGGACTGAATTAAAATAGAAAAAGGGGTGAGGAGGACGTACACCGCGCAATCGTATACAGCGGACACCAGACGTGCATATTCCCCGGGATATGGACTCCATCGACGAAAATGCCCTCGGGTGGTGTCTTGCGCTGCAATGAGGATGGGACAACGGGGTGGAGACGGAGCGCTTCGTTGATGACGCCGTTGAGGTGCTCGAGATGGGCGATTTTCGAGTGCAGGAATTCGGTTTTGCTCGGGTTGTCGTTCTCGGCGTAGATGGGCTCCAGCTCGGCGCGGAGCTTGGTGATGTGCTCGGGGTGCCGGACGAGCTCGTAGAAGATTGTTGAGAGGGTGGCGGCTGTGGTGTCGCTGGAGTCGAAGTTAGAGGTAGTTTTGGAGGGGGTAAGGGATAGGGCGTCTAGTACCTTCCAGCGATGACGATCAAGCGTGCGTCTCCGTATAGCATGTTCTTCTCATCAGGCGTGAGATTGGTTACGTCCCGTCCTTTCAGCGGAGCGAGCAAGGACGAGCTGACGTCTGGGATTACGGGGTCATTCTAGATACCGCACATTCGTCAGTACGCCGCTATAACCGTGAGTCCGTGTCGAAAAGGATAGGGTACACACCTTCGACCTCTCCAACAACCTCTCCCCACAAAAGTCCAAACACTTCCAAAAATCCCCCATAATCCCCGGAATCGCCGCAATCAGGATAAACGCCCAAGCCGGCAGATTCAGACCAACAGCATCCGCCGACGCTGTCAGCAGCCTCATCGCCCAATGGTCCTCCCCCCGCTCAAGACTCTCAAACCCCTGCCCAAACGACAAATCCCCCATCACATCGAACGAGTACAGATTAAACCACTTGGTCACATCGACGGCCTCGCCCTTCTCAGCCATCTCCTCGATCCGCTCGAGCAGTTTACGTCGGTACTTCCGGATCCGCAGCTCGTAGCCGCGGAGGAGGCGGTCGCTGAATGCGCCGCTCCAGACGCGGCGGCGGAGATGGTGCGCTTCGGGGTCGCGCAGGAGCTGGAGTGCTGTGGCAGGGTAGGAGACGTCGTACATGGGTCCCTTTGTGCAGCGGGTGTGGGTGCCGTAGACTATTTCTAGGGCGTCTGGGTGCGCGATTGAGAGGTCGGATGCTCCGATGCGGACGATTGGGCCGTATCTTTTGTGCCAATTTAGGAGGGTGGTGTGCATGTTGTTGTTGGTTAGTTGGGTGGGTGTCCATAGTGACGAGAGTCGGGCCGGGAGAGGGCCGGGGAATTTGTTCAAGGGGTGGAATAGCAGACGGTAGAGGAGGGTGCTCGTGTAGATGCCGGCGAGGTAGGAAGATAGGAGTTTGAGGACGAGGGGGAGGGCGGTTGTCCAGGGGGTTGATTGAGTGCGTGAGAGGAGGAGTGTTGCTGCGGGGATGGCCGTGAGGAGGAGCTTGAGGTAGAAGAGGCCGTAAAGGTGGTGCTCGCCCTGCTTGAAGTAGACAATGTGTGAGAAGACCCCGGCCAGCGCGGAGGCTGCGAGTGTGGAGAGGGCCATATTGACTGCCGTCCACAGTCCCTGAATGCAACCTGAGGATGTCGGGGATCTATATACCCTCTACACCTCAGCAAGCCCCGCCTTCAGTAATGAGAATGCTAAGACTCGCGCGCAATCAGTCCGCATACGTGTAATATAAAAATTTGGACGACAACAACCCCGCAGCCTCTTTGGCAGGCGCACCCGCACGGACACTCTAGACGACGCTAATGCGGAATTGATTAACCCAAGACCGCCGGCTGAGATAGTCCAAGCATGCTAGCGCATGAGATAATGCTGGCTAATGCAGTTGTAAGAAAGGACCGGCTCATCGTAGGCTGAGAATTACAAATGCTCCTTGCGTGGTGGGGAGGCAGCACGTGTTACACTGCATCAAGGCCAATCCATGCCTTAATCACGGCTTACTCCCGTCTTGACTGCTTATCTATTGGGAGACGTTGGTCCTTTAGTTTCTTTGCACTCCCGGGGGTAGAATGCTATGGTATTCTTAGCCTCCGACTGGTTACTATGGCCTGATCTTATTTCAGTTTGAGGACTGGGCGGCTTACCATAGTCTGATGTGAGGATGTGTCAACCTTGAGTCCAGTTTGAGGAGACTGTCGACCCTAGGGGTTGATTAGCTGCTATCATGAACAGGATGAGTGGAAGAAGTGTATATAAGCCTTGGGGGCCATGGAGTATGCTCCAACCGATCTGCGGCCCGCCGCAAGGGGAACCGACCTTGACATCTACCCCACGACAACTTGCCATATCCATTTGGATACAAGTAGCTCCTCATTGGGGATGAATCCAGCAGTGTGTGGAATTGAAGCATTCATGTCGATGCCTATGTTTGGGAATCCGAGAAGAAATGCTGAAGGAATGTATGGCCGCTTCTTGGCGTTTGCTGCGAGGCAATGCAGCAAGCTGACTCAGCGTCACGTGCTCCAGGGGGTTGCAGTGGAATGAACCGAGGCAGTTTCAGGCTGGAGATCGAGTTATGCAGTTCAATCTTGCACAGTCCATCAAACCATCAAAGGGTTGAGCCCCATCAGCTCCGTGTCCACTCGGCGTGGCCGACAGCAAATCGGGAAGCCGACATTATTCTAGGGCTGACGTTGCATCGCTCAAGCCGAGGTTGATTCTTCCACCTCATGGTTCCATGCATTGAAGTAATGCACACCTTTATATACTGAACAACCCCTTCCCCCTCCCACTGGCGATTTATCCAACATCAACACAATGGCCGAAGAAAACACGGTCGAAATCCCAGAGCCCTCTGGGCTGCCATTCCTTGGCAACATCGGCACAATCGACCAGGAATTCCCCCTGGGTTCGATGGTCAGTCTAGCAGAGCAACACGGCGAGATCTATCGACTACGATTCCCCGGGCGCACCGTTGTCATAGTTTCCACTCATGCCCTGGTCGACGAGACCTGCGACGAGAAACGGTTCAAGAAGTCGGTCAATTCGGCCCTGGCCCATGTTCGGGACGGCGTCCACGATGGGCTTTTCACGGCGAAGATGGGCGAAGAGAACTGGGGGATTGCGCATAGGGTCCTGATGCCGGCCTTCGGGCCTCTCTCTATCCGCGGCATGTACGACGAAATGCACGACATTGCTAGCCAGCTCGCGCTCAAGTGGGCGCGATACGGTCCTGATAGTCCTATCATGGTCACTGACGACTTCACCCGTCTGACGCTCGATACCCTGGCCCTGTGCTCGATGGGATACAGGTTCAACAGCTACTATTCTCCCGAGTTGCATCCGTTTGTCGAAGCCATGGGGGATTTCCTCACGGAAGCCGGAGAGAAGCCGCGACGGCCGCCGCTGCCCGCCATGTTCTTCCGCGGGCGCGATGAAAAGTTTGCGAATGATATCGCTGTGCTGCGAGATACGGCGCAGGGGGTGCTGCAGGCGCGTAAGGAAGGGAAGAGCCACGATCGCAATGATCTTCTAGCGGCTATGCTGCGTGGCGTGGATTCGCAGACAGGGAAGAAAATGACTGACGAGAGTATCATGGACAATTTGATTACGTTCCTGATTGCAGGCCACGAAACGACCTCTGGTCTTCTGTCATTTGTCTTCTACCAACTGCTGACGCATCCCAAAACATACCGCAAGGCCCAACAAGAAGTTGATGAGGTTGTCGGACAGGGAGTCATTGAAGTGTCTCACTTGTCTAAGCTGCCGTACATCAATGCTGTTCTTCGCGAAACCCTGCGCCTCAATGCAACAATCCCCCTGTTTACGGTCGAGGCTTTTGAGGACACCCTTCTTGCCGGCAAATTTCCCGTCAAGGCGGGTGAGACCATTGTCAATCTCCTCGCCAAATCGCATCTGGACCCTGAGATATACGGGGACGACGCGACCGAGTTCAAGCCAGAGCGCATGTCCGACGAGCTCTTTAACGCACGTCAAAAACAGTATCCCAACTCATGGAAACCATTCGGAAACGGTATGCGCGCTTGCATTGGACGACCGTTTGCCTGGCAGGAAGCACTCTTGGTCATGGCCATGCTTCTCCAGAACTTCGACTTTTCATTTGCCGACGCAGAATATGATCTGAAGTTTAAGCAGACATTGACTATCAAGCCGAAAGACCTGTATATGAAAGCAACTTTGCGTCACGGCCTCACCCCAACGACCCTCGAGCGTCGACTGGCCGGACTTGCTGCTGAAACCACGACGCAGACCAAGACGGTCAACGCCGATTCTGCGGACACTTCGTCAGCTACCGGTGCTCAAATGACTATCCTCTATGGTTCGAACAGCGGAACATGCGAGACGTTGGCGCGGAGAATCGCCGCTGATGCGCCATCCAAGGGATTCCATGTAACGCGATTCGATGGTCTTGACAGTGGCCGTGCCGCGCTTCCGACAGATCATCCTGTCGTGATTGTGACCTCTTCATATGAAGGCCAGCCTCCTGATAATGCAAAACAGTTTGTTTCCTGGCTGGAGGACCTCGACAAGCAGGATGAACCATCACCGCTCAAGGATGTACCCTTTGCTGTATTCGGATGCGGCAACAAGGAATGGGCCCAGACATTCCACCGCATCCCCAAGCTGGTTGATAACCTACTAAACAAACTTGGGGGCACTCGTATCACCGACCTGGGCCTCGCGGATGTCTCCACCGACGAGCTCTTCTCTACTTTCGAGGCTTGGGCCGACGATGTGCTCTGGCCTCGTGTTGTTGAGCAGTTTGGCGCAGAAGGCAGAAAGTCACAAGACCAGAACGAGTCCCCTGACCGAAAGGCGTCTGCGGCTCCGGCTCCAGGTGTCGAGGTGACAGTGTCCAACTCACGGACCCAAGCCCTGCGTCAAGACGTGGGCCAAGCCATGGTCGTAGAAACCCGACTACTCACCGCGGAGGAGGAGAAAGAGCGGCGCAAGAAACACCTGGAGATTCGTCTTCCAGAGGGCGTAACTTACACCGCAGGCGATTACCTGGCCGTGCTGCCCATCAACCCCGCCGAGACCGTCCGCCGCGCAATGCGGCAGTTCAAGCTGCCCTGGGATGCGCAGATCAGTATTGCGTCCTCGGGACCAACGACAACTGCTCTTCCGACCGATGGACCTGTCGCGGCAAACGAAATCCTCAGTACTTATGTGGAACTGGCCCAGCCTGCCACGAGAAAGGTAAGTCGCGACGAACTTTATTCTCTCTCTCCATTCATTGGCTAATGTTTCTAGGACCTGCGAGTTATGGCCGATGCAGCTACAGACCCAAACACACAGAAGACGCTCAGAACATACGCCAACGAGACAGAAACATACAAAGCCGAGATCCTCGCAGAAAGCGTTTCAGTCCTCGACATCCTAGAACGCCATCCCGACATCGACCTCCCACTGGGCTCCTTCCTCCTTATGCTCCCATCCATGCGCATGCGCCAATAGTACGTTTACACTCGCCTTACCTGTATCCCTAAACATCCTTCTGACAGAAAACAGCTCCATCTCCTCCTCCCCCCTCTCAACCCCCACAACCGCCACAATCACAATCTCCGTCCTCGACGCCCCCTCCCGCTCTCGCTCCAACGGCCGCTACCTCGGCGTCGCAACCTCCTACCTCGACTCCCTAAGCGCGGGCGACCACCTCCAAGTCAGCATCCGCAAGAATCCCTCATCTGGATTCCGCCTCCCAACCAACCCCACAAACACACCCATGATCTGCATCGCCGCAGGCTCAGGCATCGCGCCCTTCCGCGCATTCCTGCAGGAGCGCGCACACCTACAAGAGAAAGGCACGAAGCTCGCGCCCGCCCTGCTCTTCTTCGGATGTCGCGCCCCCGGCGTCGATGATCTGTACCGCGAGCAGTTGGACGAGTGGGCTGGACGCGGTGTTGTGGACGTACGATGGGCGTTTAGCCGGAAGGCTGAGGAGAGTAACGGATGTGCGCATGTCGATGACCGGATCTGGGCGGATCGGGAGGATGTTAGGGGGTTGTGGAGCGATGGTGCGCGCGTGTATGTTTGTGGGTCTGGGGCTGTGGCGAGGTCTGTGAGGGGCGCGATGGTGAGGATCATCAGGGAGGATATTGAGAAGAAGGCGGATGTAGGGGTTGGGGACGGTGCTGATGGGGAGACAGCGGACAGTGAGAAGAGGGCGGAGAAGTGGTTTGATGAGCAGAGGAATGTGCGGTATGTGATGGAGGTTTTTGATTAGATGGGCTGGGCTTTTGGATACGGTTTGTATTCTAGATTGTCTTTTTTGGTTGAAAGATAGAACGTCCCCTTTTGTATATTTCATGGAGTACCTTTGAATAAACGAGGTCCGTCTAATTTCCACGCAGCGATACTGTAGCAAAGAACTGGACATGTCCAGATACCTGCTTTGTGCCCATCAATAAGAAGGTTCAGCTACGCGCAAGCCTAATCACCAGTCTTGGGATCCTAGCATTCCCTCGGCCATGCATATCAAGTAGGTATATATAGGTAGTTACGGCCGCTGGCTTTCAGTATGAGCCGTCCTTACGATCCCATCTCATATCCTACCTAACCGAGTTGTCCAACAAGAATCAAATCCAGAGGCACTGTAAAGCAATGCCATGCGATGGATGCTACGGAACACAGTCTATAACGTAAAAACCATAAGGTACATTTGCTCAAGGAAAATAAATACAACACGGAGTAAGTACCTAAGCAGGCACTTAGCTCCCAAACCCTCTTCTCTTCTCTTCCTTCTATCCACGCAAACACCCAACAACGCTCTCAATCTCGCCCGCAATCCCATCCACAAACTCAACTACCTGATTCTCACCCAGCAGCCCTCCTTCAACGCGAACGCCGAACCCAATACTATCACTCGCCGCATCGGGCCCGATATCGATGTAGACGTTTTGGTCGCCTATGTACGACGTATCGAGGCCAGAGATTGCTGTGGATGATACGGGAATAGGGGTTGATGGTATGAAGTCCGTTGGGACGCCGATTGGGAGGGGGTTGAAGAGTTCGGTATCCGCGGTGCTTTGTTTTTGTTGGCTGGTGCTGGTGCGGGTGCCGTGCTGCATCCAGAGGAGATTGACCCACGTATTGAAGAGCGGCGGTATCCCTCCAGCTTGGCTTCCAGCACGGGCGTTGGGGTTGGAATTGGGGTTCGTGATGACGCTGACCCAGCGGAGGATATCGCGCAGGGAACTCTGTTCGTACTGTACACGGTCCGCGAGGGATTGTTGGATATGTGTTGCCTGCTCTCGCAGCCCTAACCCTGGCCCTGGACCATCTTTCTCAGCATCTTTCTCAGTCTCAGAAGTTGGCATGGATAGTGCATTTTCCACAACGAACGGAGTAACATTTAAACAAGGGCCCGATAGTCTCTCGACGCCGTTGAACGCGGCCGAGCGTCCGGTCTGGTACAGGCCCATCGTGGGACTGTCGACGCCGGTTGCTTTGGCGAGGTGCCGCGCAACGGCGAGGAGGACGAGGGTTTGGAGACTTAGGCCTTGCGAGCGGGCTGTGGCTTCGAGCGATGAGAGGTTCGGTATTTTCTCCCATGCGGCTACGAAAAGATGCTCTTTGTTGGTGGAAGGCGGGCTATCGCTATCAGAGACAGAGAGAGATGAGGTGAGGAAAGTCGGTTTGGCGGATTTGAGCGACGACGTCCAGTATTCTTTCTCGTTTTGCGCGAGAGAGGCGAGGGAGGAGGCCACGAAGGCAGGGAAGGATGGATTTGTTTCTAGATCGTCATGACCATCGTATAGCTTGACGAGGTCGGAGACGAGCAGTGGCATGCTCCAAGCGTCGTAAAGGGCATGGTGGATAATGAGAAGGATGCCGTCTCTATCAGCGCCCTTTAAAAGTCTCAGGCGCACAGGAGGGGAGAATAGTGACGATGGATGCAGTGCTTCCTCTCGCGCTTGTGTTTTAGCGAATTCGGAAATAGGATCCTCGGACTTGACGACCTTAAACGTATCCGAGCTCTCTGTGGGATCTTTTAGAATAATCTGCAGAGCCTCGCTCTTCGAAACCGCCGCGAAGACGGTCCGGAGAACGGAATGTCGCTTTTGCAGCCGAACCCACGCGTTTTGAAGCCTCTCGGCATCAAGATGCGAACCCTCCCGAGCAACAAACGCCCAGGGCGCTTCGAAAAGTTTCCGGTCTGACTTTAGCCAGCTGACGAGGTGGTGGTGTTGGCCTGGGAGGACGGGCAGGATTGTCTCGACGTCTTCCCGTTGCAGGTTTAGCTGCGTGAGGACGGTTTGCTCGACGCGGGGATAATCTTTCATCAGAGACAGAGAAGGATCGTGAGTTGAGTCGTTGCCGTTGGTGATGGCTTGAGGTTCGGCCTTTACTCGGGCACTGATGCCGCGGAGGGTGTTTCCTTGCAGGATGTCGCCCACATTGATCTTGATTCCACTGGCTCGGCAAAGTGAGGCAATACGGATAGCCGATAGAGAGTCCAGACCGAGATTGAAGATACTTGTGGACGGCTTGATCTCGTCGGTTGGGATTCCGGTGACCTCGGCTAGTATGGACCGGATCGTTTCCTCATGGGCAGGTGTAGCGTCCACAATTGGCGTCTCAAATACGGCTTCCCCAGACTCTGATGCTCGTTTCAGTGGCAGCTCACCCAGTCCCTGCGGGATGGTGGTAGCACACCTCGTCGGATGCGCCACGATATCGCAAAACACATCTCCAAATTCCCGTAGGAAGCCGTCAAGCATGCCCTGATCAAAGTACGCACCATTTGCCGTCGCACGGATAACGACCCCATCATGCGCATGATCAACCTCAATATTGAGCTTATACTCGGCGTCAACGACAAACTCCTCGTCTTCAAACGGCGTCCAGAACTTCTGCTCGCTCAGTGGGCCTTCCGATAGGGCAGCGCTCTTCTGGAACACGAAGAGTGCATCGAATAGGTGCTTCGAGCCAAGTCTTCCTTCCTGACGTAGCGTATTCTGGATAGTCCTCAGCGGCGCATGTTGATACCTCTGAGCGTCGATACCATCCTGCTGAAGACGTTGCGCAAGAGCACGGTTACTCGTGAACTTCGGGTGGAGCGTAACGCGCTGTGCGACGGTGTTGAATAGCGGGCCGAGTGTCTGGTCTGCGTCGGGGTGAGGGAGTGTTCGGGCTGCGAGGACTTGGCCGAAGACGACGTCGCGGGTTCCGAGGAGGTGAGCGTAGGTCTTTGCGTATGAGAGCAGGGAGACAGTTTGGATTGTCACGGACATCGCTTTGCAGGCTTGAGTAATGTGGTTCAGGTCAAGGTGGATGCGGTGCTCCGAGGCGAGCATTCTTGGAGTATCGGATAGGTCAAGCAGTGGAATTTCGACCGGCTCGTAGTCCTTGAGTTTGTTTGTCCAGAACGCACATGCTTCCTCTTGGTTCGAGAGTATGTAGGGTACCACCTCTGAGAACTGAGGACGGGAAGTTGGCGATTGCCCTACATACGTGGTTGCGAGATCCTCAAAGATAAATGGAAGTGAAGCACCGTCGTAGAGGGAATGATGCAGGACGAGGACGAGGATTCTGCAGTCCGGCTGCTTGACAAGGACAGAGCGTATTGGCGGGCTGGCAAAGGAAGCCTCCTCACTGAACTTAAACAGCGCCATAACCTCAGACATTACATTGGCATCGGATGGTAGGTTGAGTTCGCTCCACTCAAACTCAGGCTCTCGATGCACCGCTCCAACCCAGCCTTCTCCAAGGTCTGGGATCAGATGAAAAGAGGTGCGGAGGATCTCGTTGGCTTGAACAACTTGACGCAAAGCATCCTTGAGTTTGTCCACATCCACGTCCTCATTCAGTCTGATCGGATGAGGGTTCACATACACCTTGCCGCCAGAGCTGATCGTCTGCGTAATCATCCCGGACTGCAGCGGTGTACATTCAAACATAGCTGTGATGGAGTCCTTTTCACCGATGGAAACATGCTTTCCGTACGTAGCAATCGAAATGATGCCCCTCTGGCTCGCATGTCCATTGACGCCATTGACCTGCTCTTGTGGCGATGATTCTTCGACGTGCTTCGCCAACGCCCCAACACAAGAAAAGCGCATGATATCCGAAGACGAGACATTAAACCCTTCATCACGTAATCTCCGTGCAAAATGGATGGCAGTTACTGAGTCAACGCCCAGACTGAAGAACGAAGCACCCTTCGACATAGCGTCCCTATCTAACCCGCAGAACGCAGAAGTGATTTCCCGAATCTTGCTCTCCGACGCGGTCCAGCTTGATTCGTCCCACTGTGTTGCCTGTCCACGGGTTCCAGGCCTGAAGCCAGCGACACCCGACTGCGCCACGTTGAAGTTTTCCAACGGCAACGTTGACCCTGAAAGTAACTCAGAGAGGACAGCGTCCATCTTCTCAAGGAACTCCTCCCCATCGTGCCTTGATCCAAAGTCAGACGAGAAGATACACTCTAGCTGCACTGCATCTGCGGCATTATCGGCCTGCACTTCAAGGGCAAGCGGGTACTCTGAGGGCATGTGGCTGTCCAGTTCCGTCCAGAGGTTATGGCCGGACGGAGGTGTTGCTCGAATGTACGAGAACAGGCAGTCGAAAAGCGGCGTTTCCGACTTTAACCACTGCTGGATCTTGCGGAGGGGCGTGTGTTGATAGTCTAGGGATCTGACTGTGGATGTTTGGATGGCGCTCACGACGTCCTGCACCGTGTTCAATCCGTTGGTGCTTAGGCGGCCGGGGATTGTCGTGATGGCTGGTAGGAGGACAGACTCGGCCCCTGGAGCAGATAATGTGCGCCCCGAAAGAACGAGGCCGTATGTGACATCGGATGAACCGACATAGTCTGCTAGTAGAAGCCCAAATATTGCCTGCATCAAGTTTGGGACCGTTGTTTGGAGCGTTGCGGAGCGCGTTTCTAGGTCTGAGAGTTTCGCTTGGGGAGTTCGACGGACGGAGGTGGTTTCCTTGATAGACTCATCGGACCTGAATCTGGTAGGGGTGCAACCAAAGAGTTGCTGCGTCCAGTGCTCCTTTGCTTTCTCGGTATCCTGAGCACAAGCATGTTCCAGGAAGACAGATGGTGAACCTCTTTCGATGACTGGGCCTCCTTCGTACCGCGCGGCAACATCGTCGAGCATCATAGCAAAGGACTCCCCATCATACAGCGCGTGGTGGATGGAGATGAAGAGAGCCAGGGGTTTACCATTTGGGCAGCTGGCATAGTGGAACCATATCGGATGGGCAGTCGAGATATTCGCGATAATGCTCCTCGAGACCTGGTCCTGCTTTTCTTTCCACGATTGAATTGCCTCGTCTAAGCCCTCATACCGCTCCTCCGTCCATTGCAACTCATGGTCCTTCTCACCGAGAACAACCTGCGCAATCTCTCTTTCCAGCGACGCGAAGGTTGTCCTCAAGATGTCATTCTCGCGCGCCACAGCCTCCCATGCCGCCTTGAACTTAGCGGAATCAACACTGTCACCAAGCTGCAGGGTGATATGGTTGACGTAAAGCCGATCATCGCTGCTGTTGAGAGAACGCGCAACGAGCCCTTCCTGCAGTGGGAGACAAGGCCGGACAGCCGCAGCCTCAACCCAATTGCTGAAAGCACTGCGATACTCCTTTTCCAAATCTTTACACCTCCGCCCAAAGAGACCTACATCGTCACTAGGCTTCCCAGACTCAGAGGATCTCGGCAACCGCGCAAGCTGCTCAACAACCGGATTGCCCATAACAGCGGCTACACTCGCCGCGTACCCGATCCCTTTCAATCGAATCGACAGACCAATAGCGCTGAGACTGTCGATCCCAACCTCAAAGATATTCGTCAGTGGGTTAAAAGCACCGGGGTTCGCAGAAATAACGTGGCAGATTTCGCTGACGACGGCTTCTTCGTCTGCATTGAGTGCCCTCTCCACAGCACCGTTCGCAGTAGACGCACTATTCCCCTGCAGCACAACCTGGAGCGGCAGCTCGCTGAACAACGCCTGCAACCTCTTCATATCTGCCTTCCCGCTCATCGCCGCAACAGGGATACTCGTGACCGGCAAGACAAGGTCAGGAACCATATAAGCGGGTAACTTCCTGCCACAACCATCACGGAGCTCTCTGCCGAGTGTCGCAATATCAGAAAACAAGAAGTCAACCTGTTCAGTCACAGTTCGTTTCCTCGCCCTCGACACAAACGAGATAAGCTGCACCTTGCTGAGACCGGGATGTTTCGCAACGGTCGTCACAACATCAACGGACATACCAGCCGGCGCCGAAGCCCGCAGCACTTCAGAGACTTCACCGAGTTCAAGTCTCTGTCCGCGGATCTTCGTCTGGTCATCCCCGCGCCCAAGGTACTCAACCGAATCATCAGCCATCAGCCGACCAATATCACCAGTGCGGTACATCTTGACACCATCCGGACCCGTGATGAAACTCGCTGCCGTGGCATCAGGGCGATGAAGGTACCCCCTAGCCACAAGATCCCCGCTGAAACAGAGCTCGCCCGTCTGGCCCCGTAGCGCGTACTCCATAGTTCCGGGGAGAAGAACATGCGCCGTACAAGCCGTAAGCGGAGGGCCGATATTGCGCAGATTCGTGGACGGCCCGATATGCGCAAATGTACAGCCGATCGTTACCTCCGTGGGCCCGTACGCATTCACGATCGCGACGTTGGCCGCAGAAGCCCACGTATCCAGGACCTTCTGGGTGATTTTTTCGCCGCCGACGGTCATGAAGCGCAGACCGGGGCACTGCGCCGGTGTGATTCCGCTCTGGTCTACGAGACTCGGGACAAAGCTCGCATGTGTGATCTCCCACTGCGACAAAGTGGTTCCGATATCGTCGAGGATCATCGGTCTGGGCGCGGTCACAGTCGCCATGCCATGGCGCCAGGGGAAGAACATCTCCAGCAGGTGCGGGTCGAAGGCGCGATTTGCTTGTGCGAGGTAGCGCCCTGTGCCGGCCAGGGTGAGTGTATCTGGGGCACATTTGCACGCGAATTCGGAGATTGATTCGATGAAGGAGGAGAGGTTTGCGCGCGTGACCATTACGCCTTTAGGTTTTCCGGTTGAGCCGGAGGTGAAGAGGAGGTAGGAGGTGTCGTCTGGGTGCGAGGCGTAGTCTTGGTTTGCAGATGGCATGGCGGCGATGGACTGCTGTAGGGCTGCATCGTCGATACATTCCACGCGACAGGTATCGGGTGCACCGGAGAAGGTGGAATTGAGGCTAGTTTCGGTGAAAACAATCGGACACTCTGCGTCCTCGACCAGGAATGCTTTTCGGTCCGCAGGTAGACTCTCATCGATAGGGAGGTACGTATTCCCGGATTTGAAGATGCCGACGATGATCGGGTAAGATGCTAAGGTGCGGCCTGCGCAGACGCCGATGATCCTGTTCTTGTACCCAAAGGACGCAAGGTACGCAGCTACACGGTTCGCCGCGCTGTTTAGGGTGCCATAGCTCATGGTCTCTTTCTGGATCCCGTCTGTGCTGATACTAGAGGCTACTTCAACAGCCGTCCAGTCTGGGTTACTTTCCGCAAACTTCTCCAGCCAGTACGTTGGAGCTTGGTATATCGAGTTCCCGACCTCGTGGCTGACCTTTCTATTTGAGAGAGACCTCATGTTAGATGGTAGTCGACTAACAAGGTTCCCGAATGTCTCATCAGGCGAGACCAGCATCTCAGAGATAAGGGCATCAATCTGCCTCACGAAAAGGCGCAGATGCTCGCGGCTGAATATCCGACTGTCACTTGATGCCTCGAGCGTCATGTTTCCATCCGCAGTCTGGAAAGCATTAAAGGCCATGGGATGCTCAACATGCAGTCCGATCTGGTCCTCGAGTTCGTTCCAGAGATCAGGGAGTTGCGCATTTTTCTTGGGTTCGTCAGGAGCATGAAAATTGAATACGGCCGGGTAAAGCGGTTCGCCACGTTGGCGGTTTAGAGCCTTCCGGATATCACGCGCATGAATTGATCGGTGGGCCCAGGACTGCAGGGATAGTCGATGTTGCTCGGCTAGGATTCTCCGAACGGTCATGTCTTTCTTGGGGTGAAAAGGAACAGGGACGACTGAGATGAACGGCCCGACGGCGCTTTCGAGGCTCGGATCGAAGACCCGGTCGGAAAGCGTCTCTGCGAAGACTGTTCCTGGAAGGCCCAGGTAAGACAAGCTCACAAACGCCCACGCTGCACGGACAATAGACGCTATGGATCCAACGCCCAGATCTGCTGCGGCCTTTTGCAGGGTTGTGACGGACTCGGTTAGGGGGATTGCCTCGGATATAAGTTTATATTCTGGAATCACGCCAGGAGGGACCCGTTTCCCCGTGAGGTCCGGCCACACAGGAACGTCAAGGTCCGCGTAGGGCCTGAGCTCAGAAGACCAGAAAGCCACGGCTTTGGTGTACTTTGTTTCCGTGGGGAGGATGTGAGCCAGCGCGGAAGTTAGTTGGGTGCGTAGGGGCGGTTTGTAGGTATAAGCCGCGCGGACGTCATCAGCGATGAACCGCAGCGAGGGTTCATCATGGATAGAATGGTGGAGTGTCAAGACCATAACTCGCTCGGTACCCTTGTCAAGAATCGTAACTGCCCACGGCGGGTGTCGGAAGTAGTTCTTCTGGTGCTTTTCCATGGTCCCCTGCAGTCTGTCTCCAAGCACGCTCTTCGATTCCTCCTCGGTACAGGTATAACTCTCCCAGTCAACGTCCGGAAGTTTGTAAACGACCTGCAGAATCGAGAACCCGATCCCATCCTTCTCCTTTGTCGCCATCTCAGTCTGAGCAACAGGGACAAACCCCGTCCTCAGCGCCTCCGTCTTCTGACAAACCGCAAACCAAGCCTGCCGTAGCCGCGAGATATCAACAGGCCCATCGAGCTTGAAGAAGTGGTTGCTCCAGTACATGTCGTACATACCCATCGTCTCGGTAAGCAGACTCTCCTGGATAGCCGTCGCGCGGAGCGTCGTGAACTCGTCCTTCTCGGGGATCTTTGCTGCGGCGGCAACGGCGGCGTGCCATTCTTCGTTGAAGGAGTGGACGTCGAATTTTTCATCAGCAGGGCTGGTTGACTGCGCCGCAGCTGACGATGACCGGGCGAGCTTGATGAGATCCTGCAAAGTAACACAAGCCAGGACGTCCATAACAGATAACTTGTATCCGGCTTCCTTGAGCCTGAATGCAAGGCGCGTAGCGCGGAGAGAGTCAACGCCTAGACTGCGCAGTCTGTTGCTCTTCGTGATAGTCGAGCTCTCAACCTTGACAAGGGCCGCTACTGTCTCGATGATCTTGGTCGTCGTCGCAGCGTCGGCCTCGTCTTCCTCAGTCTCCTCGGAGTTGATCTCGCCCTCCCACCACTCAATATCAACCTCCGCATACGCAGCCTGCAAAGCGCGTCGATCAACCTTCGCAGACGGCGTCTTGGGGATCTTCCTGACGACAAGGTAAACAGACGGAATCATATTGTCAGGGAGGACATTCCGCGCCTGGAGACTCGCCGCGCGCGCAATATCCCGCACGACATCATTCCCCACGAGCAAGCCTCCAGCTCCAGCTTCACCATCACCAGCGGCCATCGGAGCAGAAAGAAACGCAACAACAACCTCAACAGGCCTGTCCCCCCTCGAAAGAATCATCGTCTCAACCCCCTCCACAAGCCCATGACACCCCCTAAGCGCAAAGCTGATCTCGCTCAACTCTATCCGTATCCCCCCAAGTTTCACCAGGTCGTCAACGCGCGTAATATACTCCAAACTCCCATCGGAAAGCATCCTCACCAAATCACCCGTATAGTACAGCCTCTGTCTCGCCTCGTGATTGAATACATACTTCGCATCCGTAACGTCCTTCTGTCCCAGATATCCCACCGAAAGCTGCGGCCCGCCGAGCGCAAGTTCGCCGATGGCATTCTTCATCACGACGCCTTTTGTTTTGGGGTCGATGACGAAGACAGAAACACTGCGCATCGGCCACCCGATATTCGCGCTCTTGATGGTTGCATGTTCGTTGCCGAATGCGCGGATCGTCGATACAACCGTTGCCTCCGCAGGACCGTACGTGTTAAACGCGCGCATATCGCTCCCCCAATCGTCCGCAACAGCCTGTGTCAATTTCTCGCCGATCATTGTGACGACATTCAGCGTTTTACACGTGCTCCGCGGAATACCAGCTGCGAATGCGGGCGTGAGATGCGCGTGCGTTGCATTCGTGGTATTCGCAAGTTGCGCAAACGACTCGAGCATTATCTCCCGCGTGCCTGAGATCAGCACGCCGCCGAGGCCCCACGTGTAGAAGAGATCTTGGATCGAGACGTCGAATGTTGGTTGCGAGAATTGCAGGCAGCGGATTGGGCTTCCGTCTTCATTCCCTGGGATCTCGGTTTGCAGGGAGCGCATGGCGGAGACCGCGGCTGAGTGGGTTATTGGGACGCCCTTGGGGGCGCCGGTTGTGCCGCTTGTCCAGATTAGGTATGCTGTGTTGGAGGGGGTTGCGCAGTGTTTTGTTGTTTGCGGATTGTGGGGAAGAATGGAGTCGGTGAATTTGGCGACGTCGATTATCTTCATTCCGGTCGGGATGGCGTTGTCAAGTTGTGGGGTATCAAGACTGGAGAGGAGGAGGATGCCGGCACTCGTTCGCGCGATGAGGTCGTGACGACGCTGGGCTGGAGATAGCGTGTCGATTGGACACCAGGCTCCTCCCGCCTTGATGATACCCAGGATAGCAACGTACAGCGCCGGGCTCTTGTCGATGCAGATAGGGACGGAAGCATCGTTTAGGTCGCCGCATGTCTCAAGTAAATGCTTTGCAAGGGAATCGGCCATAGCGTTGAGCTCGCCATACGTCCAGGTGATATTGCCCTGGTGGTGCTCATTATCCAAGTCCTGCTTGAATATCAAAGCCGGATCATCAGGGTGTGAGATGGCATGTTCCTCGAATTGTGACTGCAGCAGTGCTCCTTCGCTGACCTCCGGTGCTGCAAGCGGTTCAGGGTTGGCGGTTGATTTGAGATCCGCTCTTGTTTGCAACGGTGCATTCTCGAAGGCCGCGTTTGGATAGTCGTGAATATAGCGGACTATATCATCCATCTGTCTCAGCATTATCTCAGTGCTAGAAGAGTCGAGGTTCGTGTTGAAGTTTGCACGGAGCGTCAGGGATGAATCCAGCTCGGGAACAACCTCAATCATTACAGAGAAGTCATTCGCCATAGCCGGGTGGTGGATGGAGCTCCATGGCCGCGAGGACCCAGCATCAGAGCCGAAATCCTGGTATGCTAGAACAGTGTCGTATGGTGTTTGACCATTGGCCGTCACGGAGCCTAGCTGGGGCTGAAGGTACGAGAGAGCCTTTGCATTAGAGGACGCCAGGTAGCGAGCGATTGACTGGTTGGTCACAGCCCCGGACTCTTTGAGCTTCTTGACGGAGATCCTAGAAGGCGTTATCGTGAATGTAGGGCCAATACACTGCTGCGAAGCCTGATCAAGTCGTCCAGAGACTACGCTTCCCAACACGACATCTTGCTCCGGAGTACCTGTGTAGCTCAGCAAAACCGCACCCCATGCCGCCTGCAGCACGGAGAGTGGGGTTGCCCCAATTGCCTTAGAGAGTCTTTTGAGATCTTCATGGCTTAGATTGGAGGTCACCTCAACGCAGCCAGTGCTTTTCTGAGCTGGCGTTCTGTGTGGGGTGAGAGATGGGAAGGGCACAGGCGAATAGCCCTGTAGAGAGTCACTCCAATAGCGGGAGGTGGAAGCATGGTCCGCTTGGAAGTGGTGCTTGACAACATGAATCAACGATGTCCGCGGCGGCAGCGGGTTGCCTGAGTATGCTGAGGCCACATCTTCGAGTAGAAGGTGTAACGAACCGCCGTCGAAGATCCCGTGAAACATGCTCAGTATCACGACTGGGCGGGTTGGAGACTCCACGAGAGCCAGCTTCCAGGGCGGTTTGCTCAAACTGATTGCCCTCTCTGCATTGCGGATCGCATGGTCGATGATGTCTTGTTCTGATGTCCTCTCGTTTGGAGCAGAATAGACATCCCACTCTCTTGTCGAGATACACTCGGGTGTTAAAATGCACTGCGCAAACGGGGCCATCTCGTCATCAACCATGCAGAAGACTGTTCTGAAAGAGTCGTAGTTCCAGATGACGTGTTCCCACGCCTTCCGTAGCTTTTCGAGGTTGACACCACGCTCTAAAGGGAGAATGGTATGGTAAATGTATGTTGGCTTCTCGTACAACTTGTCTGCTGAGCTTCGGAGGAAGCTGGTCAGCATGCCGGACTGGGTCGCGGTAGTTGGCAAAGCTTGCTGTATCGTGCCCGAGTCGATTTCCAGATTTTCGGCGCAGCGCATACGAGTTCGCTTGTCGAATGCCTCCAGTTTTACTTGGAGACTGTCCGTTGGACCCCCGTCAAGATGTATCCCGTTTGGCTGGGATGCGTTCGTCTGGTGGCGCTGGATAAGGGATACAAGGCCCTGGCAGGTATGTGACTGCAGCACATCACCCACAGACAGACCATCGACCCCGTTGTCTTTCAGCCCCTGCAAGAAACGCATTGCCCCCAGACTGTCGATGCCGACTGAGTACAGCTCTGTTGAGGGTTTGATTGCAGAGACATCGACGCCCGCTGTTTCTGCAACCAGTCGAACGACCAGCCGCTGCAACTCCTCCTCGCCAGAGTCATCCCAATCCCCGCAACCATCTTCACTGTAGCCATTGACGTGCGGAAAATCGCCCTTCTGAAACAGAGCGACCAACGCCTTCCGATCCACCTTCCCAGAACTCGACCTCGGCAGCGCATCAAGGAATTCATAGGTTGAAGGGCACATAAACGAAGCAAGCCGCCGCGCAGCGTTCGCCTTCACCTCCTCCAAAACATCGCGTTCCCCATCTCCTTTCCGTGCATCATCAACAACAAGACAAGCAACGATCTGCTCGCCCCTTGACCCCCCATCCCTCTTGACAACCGCAACAACCTCCCTAACACCCGGCGTAGTCGCAACCACGGCCTCAATCTCTCCCAGCTCAACGCGCCGCCCATTAATCTTGACCTGGTCCGTGGAAATTCGACCCAGGTACTCAATGACCTGCTGCCCATCTTTGTCCCAGACAATGCGCGCTTTATCGCCCGTTCGGTACAGGCGTCCGAACTCCTCGCTGTGCACGAAGGCCTTGGCGGTCTCGTCAGGGCGATTCAGGTAGCCTTTGCTAACTTGCGGTCCGCCGATGGCCAGTTCTCCCACTGTACCGATGGGAACGGGCGTGGGGACGTCGGAGTCCGTCGAGAGGATAAACATCGCGCAGGTCGGAAGTGGTTTCCCGATGATTGAGCCGCGCATGGATCGCTCGAAGGGCGCGACATACGTACAGTTAATCGCTCCCTCAGTCGGACCGTACGCATTAACCAGCGTCCTCGCTATACCCGACCCATCCCCAACACCCCTATGATCGGGCGTAAAATTATCAATAACAGTCCGATTAAGCTTCTCGCCCATCGACCAGAGCGCTTCAAGGCTGCTCAGCCTCTCCGGCCGCAAAAGCGAAGCAAGGCTAGGCGTAGCCATCATGACAGTCGCTCTGCTCTCGTTAATCGTGGCTTCGAGATCCGACAGCGTAAGGCGGCGGTCCGCTGAGCAGAGCGTGCCGCCAGTACTAAGCGTCACGAAGATCTCCATGAGCGAGGGGTCGAAGGACGGCGACGCGAACTGGAACCAGCGGAAGTCGCCGGGGTTCTTGCCGGGTAGGGGGATTGAAGTTGCGTGCGAGGATATGGAGCATGATGCTGCGAGGTGGGTTACTTGCACGCCTTTCGGCTTGCCGGTTGAGCCGCTGGTGAAGAGGAGGTAGGCTGTTTGGTTGTGGGAGATTGGGATGGGTTCTAGGGAGGTCCCTGTATGAGACTGGCTTTCGCCTTGGAGTTCTTTCCATTTGGAGACGGAGGTGACATCGACCCATGTTGATGTTGTTTCTGTTGATGGCTCCGGCGTGTTCCCAAGGATTATCGGAGAGTCTATGTCACTAAGGATCTCCTGTATTCGATGGACAGGCGCATCTTGCGGCATAGGACAGAACGCGTGTCCGGCTTTTAGGATAGCGAGGTATGAGATGTATAGCTCTGGCGATGTCGGCATGTGAACGGGAATTATGCGAGATACAGAGTCCAGCAGAACCGACCGTATATGAACGGCTAGATTAGTAGCGGCAGCATCAAGCGCAGCATAAGTGAGGATGCTGTGCTCTGCTTCCGATGTATCAGATGGAAGTGAATGAACAAAGTCTAATGCAATGCTAAGCGGTTTTTTGCGCGCCCAGTCCTCAAACGCCGTATGCAGGAGGTGTGGATTTGTCGCTGGGCTGTCGTTATCATTATTTCGTGCAACAGGTGGTATCATAGACGGAGGGAAGTTCATAATAGACATTTCAGGCTGCCATTCCGATGGCGCTTTTGGTGAGACGTATAATAAGAGTGTGCGCAGCAGTAGGTCTACTGCTGCATCTGGGATAAGTCGGCGTGGGTATGCAACGCTGAAATCGAGGACGGTCCCCTTTTGGTTTGGCTCGACGAACAGTGTAAATGTCTATGATTGTTAGAACGGTATCTTGCAAGCTGCGAGGAACATACATTTTGCCGGGATTGCCGTCCATTCTCAGGCCCGGCGCGACCCAGCTCAATATAAAACTGGACGTCGTCATCGTCGTATTTCGCATAAACTTCGCGATAATCCACGTCCCCTTGCGCAACAGAAGCCAGGATAATAGAGATCGTTCTCTCCGATACGTAAGGCTCGCGACGTGTGGAGCAAAACGCAACATCATCCTGACCCGTCAGCGCCGCAATGAAACGCGCATAACCCCGGATCAACCCGTCAATCACACTTCGATCCCCTGCAGAATCGCAGACAAGGCTGATTCGCTCGCTTGTGGCGCGACCGTCGCCGTCACCGTCGCCGTCGATTGGTCTGTCGTTGTCTTTGTCTCTGTCTTGCACGGCATATGCATCGACCGTATCAAGTGCCGGAATCTTGGTAACGGGCACAACTCCAACATCGGGACCCGGTTCCTTATCCTCGACCGAACTCCTCCCACTCTGACTGTGACTGTGACTTGTACCGCAACTGCGACTGCGACTGCGACTCCGAAAAGCGCCGGACACCCGAGAAAGCCCCGAAGCGACGTATCTGCGGAGCGAGCCCGCCAGCTTTCGTTTCCCCATTATGGCCGGGAAAAAATGCCTTGAGGCAGCCCGACGCAAGGGCGGGCTTGCTCGGTGTAAAGTACCCTCTCTGGGCCTCTAACCGGGCAGCAAAACACGGTGTGGAATGCAGGAACGCTCAATTGCTCTCTAATGCCGGCGTGCTCATTGGCGGGCGGCGTGACACAGTGATTGGATGTAGGCGGGTGGGGAGCGGAGGAGCTGCGCTGGAGCTTCCAACTCTAGTCTCAGCCTCTAGCAGGGAAGCACAGACGCAGCAGCTCGCAGCGCAACAGCGAGGCTGGGAGTTTGAGATTTTTACGTGGGATCATCGAGCTCGGAGATGGGCCGTTGGTGGTTCGAGCGTGGCGTGCGTGGGAAGTCTCGCGCCCTGTCGCGCGGTCGGAGCCAGTCAACGGTCAGCTGAGTCCCGTGGCTCGCCGTGTTTCGGCCGTTGCTGATTAGATCTTGATCAATCTGATAAGATTGCGTACCGTACGATATGTCTAACGATACGTGTATGGTATTCTGTATTCCAGAATTTCAGGTCAGGTCAATGCTGCCAAGGTTGGTGGGATTTCAAGGCCAATGTAAGACGGTGGGGTCAGAAATTTCTGCTTGCTAGGTGAGCTTGGACCAGAGCAGCAGGCCCCTTCGCGGTGACTTGTTTACTCCGCAAGCGAAGGCGAACTCTTAGCATATTACAGCCGGTGAATGCCCACAGCCCTTGAGCGCTTAGGATTTATCAAGTAGCCCGGTCTTTGGAAATGTGCTTTCGGAGCTTTTTTAAGTCGTGCCCCGCTGTAGCTAGAGCTGACTGATTGATATGCGGGCCGTCATCAGGATTTTATCTGATCCGTAGTGGAGAGTCCAAGCCATCTTCGCCTTCATACTACCACGGAATTTGCGGCAGTTGAAACTCAGCACCCTGGGCAGGGCCCCGGGGTGTTCCTTGGCAAACCGAACCTATAATGCAGGGATTCCGACCTTGCGGGAAGCCATGTCTCGGAAGCCGCCGGATAGCTTTTCTGCAGGCCAGGAATTCTTGCTCCCGACGTTGCAGGAGAACTTGGAACCAATTACTTCAGTTAGATGTACGTGGAATTGGTTCAGACAAATGCAGCGCTAGAAAGAATTTTGAGTAGTTGGTATATATTGCGCGAGGACCTACATTTGGTGTGTGGGATGCTATCTTCTTCAGCAGGTAGCCTTTAGTGATGTTACATCGTGCTGGAAATATATATATTGGTCGCCTTTGGTCTGAGATGATTTGAATCTGTTGGATTAGGCATAATAACATACCAATTACTTATAGATCTTGTCACTCTTTTGGTCAGTAATACCATCCTGAGTCTTTCCAGTTCGTTCAATTGACCTCATTCTTGCCAGATTCGAACCCCTCCAACCCGCGGGAACTGTCTGACTGTTATCAGATTTTTCAGGTTATCAGATCCAACCCCTGCATTTCTCAGCCAATCAACGCTCCCACCAAGGCCACACATAACCAATAACAAACCAAATCCCACGCCCACCACAATCCACACCACAACACCCTCCAAAAGGATCAAAACCACAGGAAACAAGAAGCCCAGACCGCAGCCCGCAGATCTGATAATGAAGCCGATATCGTCATCTCGTGCCGAAAGTGGAGTCCCCAAGCCCGCCGCAGACGCTGATTGAAGATTCCTGAAGAAATGGCGCCCCTCACGAGTCACCCACGCTCTCCCGACCAAAAATGACTCGCTTAGAGCAAAAGAAAACGTTCTTCGGCTGTCAATCGTGCTAGCTCCGAGGTAGTCTGATGCCCACCAGCCGGAAACCAGGCGTCTGGATCGTATTTAACCCGCCTGCACCCCTGCCCTGCATACCGGCTGCATTCAACCACCTACATTCGTTATCCCAGCCCACACAATGGCCGCCCCCGTCCGCCGCCTCCAACAAACCCTCTCGCACCTGCAATCCCCCCAACCCACACACCTCTCCATCGTCCACGGCCCAACCGAGCCGGAACTGCTGGACGTCACGCTCGGCGAGCTCCTAACGCTGCAGAGCCTGCAGTATGGCGACTACGAGTGTCTTGTGTTCCCGTGGACCGGGGCGCGCTGGACATACGCGGATCTGAACGATGAGGCGGACCGCGTTGCGCGCGGGATGCTGGCGATGGGGATTCAGAAGGGGGACCGCGTGGGCATCATGGCGGGAAACTGCGAGCAGTATATTTCGATTTTCTTTGCGGCGGCGCGCGTGGGTGCAATTCTGGTCGTGCTGAATAATACGTATACGCCGAGTGAGCTCTATTATGCGCTTGATCATACGGGTATGCTTGATTTGAACGAGTCTGGAGTTAGAATTAGGGAGCTAATGGAACGATGGGTAGACTGCAGACTACTCTTCTTGACCCCCCGCATCAACAAGCACTCCCTCGAGGATGTCCTCACCAAACTCGGCCCGCACCCCAAGGCCGCTGGCACGTCCAAAGCCCTCGAAGAGATCGTCGTCATCCGCGGCACATACAAGGACTTCACGACCTACGCGCAGGTCATTGAGCGCGGGATCCCGCTGCCCGCTAACGCCCTCCCCGAGCGTGAGACCCAATTGCAGCCTGAAGACGTCTGCAACCTCCAGTTCACGTCCGGGTCAACGGGGAACCCCAAGGCCGCGATGCTGACGCACCAGTACGCCTACCTGCTCCCTCCAATTTCCGCCAGCTAACAAGTCCCCAGCAACCTCGTCAACAACTCCCGCTTCATCGGCGACCGCATGAACCTCACCTCCTTCGACATCCTCTGCTGCCCGCCGCCCCTCTTCCACTGCTTCGGACTGGTCCTAGGCATGCTGGCCGTCGTAACGCACGGGTCCAAAATCATCTTCCCGGCCGAGACCTTCGACCCCCTCGCAACGCTGCACGCCATCTCCGACGAGAAGTGCACGGCTCTCCACGGCGTGCCGACAATGTTCGAGGCGATCCTGTCCTTCGATAAACCGCCCAACTTCGACTGCTCCAATCTCCGCACTGGAATCATCGCCGGCGCCCCCGTGCCCCGCCCGCTCATGAAACGCCTCTTCGACGAGCTGAATATGAGGCAGTATACCAGTAGCTACGGTACGTCGCTCTCCCACCAAAAAAAGGCACCCCAGCTAACAAGTAGCATAGGACTAACCGAAGCATCCCCAACCTGCTTCAACGCCCTGACAACCGACAGCATCGAAACCCGCCTCCGCACCGTAGGCAAGGTGATGCCGCACGCGAAAGCCAAAATCATCGACGGCTCCGGCGCCATCGTCCCCGTCGGCACGCGCGGCGAACTCTGCATGGCCGGATACCAGCTGACAAAGGGGTACTGGAACAACGCGGCCAAGACGGCGGAGACGCTGGTGACCGACGAGCAGGGGACCGTGTGGCTGAAGACAGGCGACGAGGCGGTCTTCGACAAAGATGGGTACTGCAGTATTACGGGGCGGTTCAAGGATATCATCATCCGTGGTGCGTATCCCTACCTCATCTCACAAATCGCTCCGCAGGGAGTGTTCATTTAACTGATGTTGATGAACTTGCAGGCGGCGAAAACATCTACCCCCTCGAAATCGAAGAGCGGCTGTCCGCGCACCCGTCAATCGCACTGTCAAGCGTGATCGGGATCCCGGACCCCAAATACGGCGAGGTCGTGGGTGCATTCATCGCCCTTGCAGACGGAACGACACGACCATCCGACGACGAACTGCGGGCGTGGACGCGCGAGACGCTCGGTCGGCACAAGGCGCCGCAGCATGTATTTGTGTTTGGGGAGGAGGGCGTGGATAGGACGGTTCCTGTTACGGGGAGCGGGAAGGTGCGGAAGGTGGATTTGCGGAAGATTGCGGAGGGGGTTTTGGGGAGGCGGAATGGCAATGCTAGGGAAGTGCAGGCTACGGCGTAAGTAGAGATAGAGGATTGGGTTGTATATAGATAGATTGTTCTGGTAGCGATTTTGTTTTCTTTCTTTTGGTTTATACCCGGCTATAGAAAAGTTATTCTATTCCTATCCTCCCTCTTGAATCTTCAACGTATTCCATAGCCTAAGTTACTAACGCCCCGAGACTCTCGTGAACCTCGGAAAAAGCAAAAAGTTCTCTTCGTTATCAATCAGATTACCCACCCATTATCTAATCTGATTCTTATGTGGGCCGCGCCGGAAATTTACGCCCGTAATGGTGCCGTACAGCCACTTGGCGCATTCGGTGGGGGTGCTTCGAAGAAAAAGCTCCGGTGTCGGCCAGGCGCCCAATGATCCAATACCACTAGATGAGAGCGGGTCGTTGTTGGTGGGGGCTCGGGTGCAGAGCGTTGCAGTGCATGACATATGGCATGGCATGATTTTGATCTGATTCTGACTCTGCAGTGCTGGTGCTGGCTAGGTTTGTGTAGACTAGTCTACATGTGGACTCCACTTGTTGACTCCGTAGACTACTCGTAGGACTAGGACGATGTTTCATTTCCACATGCACATGCACATGCACCTGAGCTGGTCAGACAATACCATTCCAACAGCATCTAACTATGCTTGTGTATATATCCGAGTAGGTATGTATCTACAACTTCAACGCCCGATACGGATCCCGTTCAAGGTTCTCCTGGCCGTCAAACCGAAACGGCGAGATGTGGAAGAATTTCTCCCGACTACACCTGACCAGCGCCGAGCGCTTGCGCGGGAGATCAATCAGCTTCTCGAGACTGAACCCCGTCGCGTGATCGTACGCCAGGACCGTCAGGTTCGTGAACTCGGGCTCGCCGACAATATACCGCGTCCGCGGCTCGTCCAGGAACATGTAGTGCATGATGCTGCACCACCAGACCATGACGCGGTGCTGGCCGCGGAAGCGCACGTCGCCGACGAGCGAGTGGCGGCCGCGGTCGAAGTCGTCGGCGGCGTAGTGGGCGCCTATGCCGTTTTCCTGCTGCCGTTAGAAGAGAAGTAGCGGGTTTGAGGGGGGCGAACCTTGGCCCAGTAGATCTGGTGGTAGGAGAAGAAGGTGTTGTTGAATTTGGCGAGGACGGCGATCTGGTGTGGATCTTCTTCGACTTTGCGGAGATACTCCCGATGTTGCTGGAGTGTGCCCGTCTCATTCCATCCTTTCGCGACGCGAGGGTCGTTCTGCCACGTGTGGAAGAGGCGGAGGTGTTCGTCGTCCCGGTAATCCAGGGCCCAGAGTGAGAAGAACTCGTCTAGCTGGGGTATGTAGCGGCTATACATCTTCGACCCGGGCGTCGGTTTGCGAGGGCGTATGGGGTGGAGGGCGTGAACGCGCACGCCGCCAGAAGACTCGGTCGTCAACGTATGCTGCACCGGATGGACGGGAAACGCCGTCAATGGCTTTCGGAGGTGGGTGTAGATATCCGGATCGCACACCCATACTGGCCGCGACCCGAAAGGCGAACCGGCGCCTTGCCAGAATGTGCTGCGGTAGATCACCAGCTCGGGGCTCGCAGTCCGAGGGATCGGGAGGCCCGGCGGAGAAGGGCTCAGATGAACAGTCGCCAGCCCAACAGCCTGTAACTCGCTCGCTAGCAACTCCCTCCCCGTACCCGAGAGGACGGCACGGAAGATCTCAAACTCGGTGCGCAGCGTCAGGAGCGCATAGAGGACTTTCCAGATCTGCGCGACAGTCGGCGGCTCCTTCCCTTCCCAGTTCCAGTATGTCACTGGGCTTCGTTGCGCGCGCGCCCATGCCGAGTTGTTCCCGTCGGGCGGTGTTGTGAACGGATCGGGTTCGCGGAGGTCAGTGAAGTGCAGCGAGTCGCGGTGGAGGGGTTCGGGTGGTGGGAGGCCGTCGTCCACGCGCGGGGACCGGCGAAGTTGCAACTTGCGCGTTCCGTGCTGGACGGAGACGACTTGGAGTCGGTAGGTTGTTTTGTATGGTTCAGGGAGCCGGATCAAGGGGAGTTTGTCGGGGGAGGCCATGGCGAGTTGGCAATCGAGACGCGTTGAGTTGGATGGACCGAGGTGGTCGAGCGAGTTGTCTGCTCACATCATCGGGACATGCTCAAGCAAGTCGAAGGCAGTCATTGATGGCCCACTCGGCGGCGCATTGTTTTCTCTGGCATGATGCGCGGGGAAGACAAGCGGTTGAAAAAGATCGTCACCGTTGATTGTAACTTACGGCTGGGCTTGAATTACGGAAACCATACACAACCCGGCCATCGCGCGCTACTCCCGGATTGGGAGCGATCAGCGGCGTGTTCAAGACCTTGATTTCAAACTTTTCAGCGGTCGACGCGCTTTTTCTCGTAAAAGAAACAGACCTGCAGGCTGCATCCCACGATGCTCCACTATAGCTGCCAGCAAAGCCTTACTTGACACGGCATGCAAGTCCGAATGGCGGTCTGACTAGCAGGCAAGATCCGACCTGCTTGGATACGCGTACGTTGCCTCACTTTGCTTCAGCCTTCAAGCCTTCAACGGTATGACCGTATGAGGCGGTCTGCTTGAGAAGGGATCATGGCCGCTGTTCGGGTATCCATATCAGCCCTTCCCGTGTCATAGACTCCATACTGACTCGCTTCAAGGTATGGCGCAGAGACCAGAATCTCGTTCACCGATCGATCGATCGATCTCTTGGCCAGTGTTACCTGCGATATCCGGAGTCCGCGGATCCCGGCGTTGGTAGCTGAAAGCACGATTGATTCCAACTAGGCCCCAAGATTGCCAAGATATACGAGGATTTGGAACGCGATCTATAGCGAAAGACCAGGGTCCCCCCACGGGCACTGGAAATCTGCAAGAATATACCGCGCTCCCTTTGGCCATATCAGTCATCTATCGTCCCTCAGATTGTCTCTGGACCATACAGACATAAGAACAGCGAGCGAAACAGACGCGGTTTCCCCCCTCCGTCTATGACTATTGTCAGCGGTGGAATGCATACATGACCTCCCGCTGAGTGGCAGCCAGCGGGGAACCAACACCGAAAAATGCGAAGGATCCCACCACCCCTGCTCCCCGGCACAGATTACGATATGCAGCAAACTATTCCGATGAAAGACGGGATGATCGGCGTGGGGGAGATGATGCCCCCAGCACTGCACGCTGCACGCTGCACGCTGCACACTGCGACAGGAGCTGGTCATCGCAATCTCGGACGATGCGATTCGCTCGTGGCGTGAAGCATAGGACATTCTGGCCTACCCGGGACCGGCGTATTGGGGCAGGGGAGTGGGAGGTGGGAATCGGAGGGTCGAGAGCGCGGATACGTCCTTGGCCGTAATACCTTGCCTGCCTGGACATGACTGCGTGGCTTGTGCGACATGCGAGGGTTTCCGAGATGAAGAAACGAAAGTAACATATCCGAAGGATGCCATCGGATCACGTCTTGGTCCTCGAACTGAAGCCTTCCCAGCCCGCCCCTGTTCCAGGCGTCGGTCCCTGCAGTCTCCTGCCGGATTGGAGCCTCTTTTTAGATCGCTGCATACGGAATCTCTAATCCTCCGGCAAATCTTTCAGATTCAACCTTGACCTTCTCGACCTCACCTTCCCAGGAGACATTCGGTACCAAGGATGAGGAAAACGGAGTCTCTCCTAAGCAACATATCGCATCGGCGCAATACTTGCTATTTCAGACGACAGCCTCGAGCCATGGCCGGTGACGAACAACGCACCGAGTTCGCAGCAAATCGTGTTCTCCTTGGCGTTGAGGCAGCATGCCCATATGGTTCTTGCAAGGGCACTTCACTAGCAACTAGCAACAAGCGTCCAAATTATGCCCACTTGAAATTCGGTTTCCTCGTCGACCTCTGCTGCCTGCTCGAGAATCCAGGAAATCTTGAAAACTAGCAGTAGGCAGACAGAGGTTACGTGGGTACCTTACTACGTGGTTTGTCAGACGGTTGCACTAGGTGCGGGGTACCGGTACGCGGGGTTATAAGTTGGAGGCGTCGCTCAGCACCTTCATCCTCAGTATCATCCATCAAGCTCAACAAGATGTCTAAACCTGAGATGATCTATCGCCGTCTGGGCAATTCCGGCCTCCATGTGTCCGTGATCAGTCTGGGAGGATGGATTACGTGAGTCTGCGCCTTTGAATCGTGACAACTGGGTTAACTGGATTGATTACCATAGGTTCGGCGGTGATGTCGCTGAAGGTACCATCCACTTGAATTGGTTGAGCATCTGCATTAGAGATGGCAGCTAATACCTGATCAGAGGGCACCGAGGCCTGCATGCGCCAGGCCTACGATCTAGGCATCAATTTCTTCGACACGGCAGAAGGGTTCGTCACCAGTTCCCGTCACCCAGAAGTATATATACTGACGGATCCAGGTACGCCGACGGCAAATCCGAAATCGTCATGGGCAACGTCATCAAAAAGGCCGGGTGGAAGCGAAACGACCTCGTTATCAGCACCAAGGTAAGCGAACTGTACCTTGTCCACCCACCGTCAATTTCTCGATTCCTAAACCCAATCTCAACCAACAGGTAAACTTCGGCCGCGCGCACGGCAAGATCCCAGTAAACAACATCGGCCTGTCCCGCAAGCACGTAATCGAAGGGACGAAGGCCTCGCTGGCGCGCCTCCAACTCGACTACGTGGACATCATCTACGCGCACCGGCCGGACCGCCTAACCCCCATGGAAGAAGTCGTGCGGGCGTTCAACTTCGTCATCGAAAAAGGATGGGCGTTCTACTGGGGGACGTCGGAGTGGTCCGCCGACGAGATCAGCGAGGCAGCTGGGATTGCGAAGCGGCTGGGGCTCATCGGCCCGATCGTCGAGCAGCCGCTGTATAACATGCTTGATCGGGGGAAGGTCGAGGGGGAGTTTGCGCGGCTGTATGAGCGTGTTGGACTGGGTCTCACAACGTTCAGTCCGCTTAAGGGTGGACGGCTGAGCGGGAAGTATAATGATGCGCTGGAACGACCGCCGGCGGGGAGTCGGTTCGCGGAGAGTAACGATGTTTACTCGAAGGGGATACGTGAGAAGTGGGCGGCTGAGGAGGGGGTTATTCAGCAGGTCAAGGGTGTTAAGGTACCGACTCGTTTTTGGACTGGAGTATACCTGGTGACTGACGATACAGGCCCTCGCCGACAAACTCAACGTGAAACAGTCCCACCTCGCTCTGGCATGGTGCATTAAGAATGAGAACGTCAGCTCGATCATCACCGGCGCTTCGAAACCAGAGCAGATCGTCGATAACGTCGAGAGCCTCAAGGTCCTCCCTCTGCTTACGCCGGAGGTCATGGCGCAGATCGACGAGGCGCTGGGCAACAAGCCCGCCGTTGCGCCCGCTCGGTTCGGATAGCATTGGGTTGGGGCTAGTGTCAGGATGATAGAGCGCCCGCGCTGGTCGGTTGGTCGGTTGGTCGGTACCAACACCACTGGCAGTACCAGTATCAATGGTGGAATAGAAACGCGACCAGTTTAGTTGAATACCACCCAGCCCTCAACACCCAACCCAACCCAGGCACCATAGCCCAGAAGCTAGGCCGGGGCATAGGCACCCGTAGCAACAAACCCACACTTACAACACCTCACCCCCCCCTTCCCCTTCTGGTCCCTAACACCAACCTCAAACCCCCCACACCCCAAACAAACAACCCTCAGCTCGCCACAGACCACAAAGCTCGCGCCCCGGGTATACCTCGCCTCCCCGCCCTCCCGTGGCTGCACGCCACACTCGACGCAAAAGCGTTTCTTCGCATGCCGGGCGCGCCTCCCGCGTCCCGCGCACAGCATGCGCACGGCGAAGTTGCTTGCGTGTCGGAGGCGCAGACAGTATCGGCATGCGTAGAGGTTACGGCGGGTAGCGAAGTCGGTTGTTTCGGCTGCTAGGAGCTGGGCGTGGGTTGGGGCGGGGAGGAGGGCGTGGAAGTAGGTGTTTGTTGTTCGGAGGAAGATTGTGGAGGGGAAGGGGAGGTGGGAATGGACTTGGAGGTGGAGTTCTGGGGGGAGGGAGAGGAGGGTGGGCATTTTGGATAGAAATTAAAGTGGTGTTTGGAGTTCCAAGGAGGGGAAAGATATAGAGAGAGAAAGAGAGAAAGAGATGCCGAGCTGAGACGGGTGGAGGACTTGAGCTCGAGGCCACTGGTCGAGATTGGCTGGTTAGAGGATGGACATTGAGGTATTGACAGCTTGAGGGATGCAGACTGTGGAGATAAGATGGAGATGAGATGAGATGAGATGTTGGATGTGTTCCTGGTGTCCACGTGCTCCCTCTTACGGTAGGTAGCTGGGGTGACATCATCGATCTCTACCTCATCACCTGACCCCACCAATACCCTATCCCTCTATATCGGGATCCTCGAACCCATCCTCAATTGCAGGGAGATCTCAGATGATGACGGATCTATCAGCGAAGCAGTTCATTCAACTCCCTCCAATCTATATACCCCGCTGGATTACCGTATCCGGAGCCATACCGGTGTGAGCGGCCAGACATTAGGATCAAACACAATGTCTTGAATCGAAGTCTATTGTTTTGTGATGAGAATCGAAGCTAAAGTCATGTTTGATAATTTATTGAGATATGGCAAGAGGCGAAGGGACTAGGCTGTTGTCTGGATTTATCCAGCTCAAGATGCGTGCTGCGGTTTCTACCTCGAGGCAGGCTACCACCTTACCTTCCACGATGCGTGTACTCTTTCAGCTTCAGTTAGCCCTAACCGCAGTGAAGAGTGGAGGGTGGCCTGAACAGGGCAACATTTCGTGTTCTGAGTTGGGAGTATGTTTTGGGTAGTGACGTGCCGTCCATCTGTTATCCTTCCAAAGATTTGTAGACTACCCTATGAACGGGTAGCTTTTAGCCCTAAGTACGCTCTATGACGGGGCTGTCCATCCGTCCAACCATATCCTGCCTAGCTCCAGTACACCTGCACAAGTCCCTCACAACCTACAGAAACCATACTATCACTGCTCCCCCCAAAAAGGCAAATCAAACGCAAACAAGAAAGAGAGACCCAACATCTACCAACACCTATCTAGGTACAAACTAAATCCTCAATCTAAAACATCCACCGCATAAACAAAAGCATTCCCAGCCAACACCCGATACTTGACTTCCACCATACTAAACCTTCGCACCATCTGTCCGGGCTCCAAGCTCCGCAGAATCTCATGATTAATCTCATTGCCGGGAAGCTGACGTATATGCACGACGATGTCTTCGGCCTGCATGACGACTCTGCCGTCGCTGGCCATCCCCTCGCCTTTCACGAGGGCGTGCTTTACTCCGACTGTGAGGGCGAAGAGGCAGTCGTTGTCGAGGAGGATGGGGACGGCGGAGCCATAAACGGGATTCTGGGAGAGGATTGTGCCGGTTAGGGGGAGGGAGAGGGAGAGAGAGAGGGTGGTGGATTGGGATTGGGACATAGGAGGGGAAACTGGGTAAAGAAGGGAGGTGATATGCTAGGTAGGGCTTATATGAGGGGGTTATTGTGGTAGGGTAAGAGGACAATTGGACAAGGCAAGATAGTGCAGCTAGGGACAGGTGATGGAAGATGGAATCCTGGGAGAGGACAAGGTGGGGGGGATCTTGGTGTGGGTATGATAGGGTTAAGGCGAGGGCAAGGAAACCAGTAGATTGCAAGACAGGAGGACGAGAATAGGAAGGAGATCTGGGAGCCCTGAGAACCGAGAACCGAGAACCCAGACGGTGAAGAAGATCCGGCTGATTTGGTACATTTATCTGGGGTATGTACAAGAGCCTCTTCATGCGGTTCTCTGTTCTTGATTATCAATCTATATTGGGCCATACTATGAAAGGGCCGGAAACAATTCACACATAGACATGCTCTGCAAGTCTCAGCTCTTTGTTCATCAACGGTGAACAAAGACTGGCTGTCTCAACCACAATGGATTGACACAGTGGGTGAAACTTCGTCGGTCTATTCTAGGCTTCTTTGTCCGGCGAAACATTCACAATGAGCTCTTGAACACTTCATGTATCATAGTACCATGACTTGCTTGGAGGAGATTTCTGATTCCTGGACGGCCAAATCCCGGCTCCTTTAGGGCTGTATCACATCCCAATTTGCATCACCGGCCAAAGACGTGCACTTCTAAATCGAGCAGCCGTGACGATGCAGTGTAGAGGATATGTTAGAGGATATTTCCGGCGATGCATCATGTCTTCAGAAGAACTACTATTCTTAGGAAACCGAGTGGTATAAAACACCCCATGCCTATCCTCGAACCCAACTCCTCAGACACCAACTTCCAATCCACGCTCAACACCATACCATTCTATCCGACAGTGCCAGTCACCGTCAACCCATCAACCACACAACCCAACCCTTAAACACCAACAACCAACAACAACCACCACCATGCCCCGAGGCAACCCCGTCCCCGACCGCCGCGTCCTGCGCTGGGACCCAAGGCGCGCCCGCCGCCCAACCCGCCGCGAGGTCGCCGACGTAATCGAAGACCTCTGGGACATCCCAGAATACTACTGCCAGGGCGTCCGGGACGAGATCATGGACGCGCAGGACGCGGTCCGCGCAGCCGCGGACGCCTCCCTAGACGAGGACCCAAACGACGACCTCAACGTCCAAGACGCCCTCTTCGACCTGATGATGGTGCAGCGCCACTACGCCCGCACGCTCGGCGACAACCCACCCGGCGCCTACGAGCGCCCCTCCGCCTACATCAACGACGACGGCCTGCTCATGACCCAGCCGGTCGCGCCGCGCCTCCTCCTAGAGTGCGGCGAGCGCGAGTACCACAGCGAGTACGCGGACATCGTGATCGCCGTGAAGCGCGAGCCCTCGCGGGACATCGTGCCGCAGTGGATCGTCTACCTGGTTGATCTGGTCGGGACGCAGCCCGTTGTCGGGCACTGCAAGAGCTACACGGTGCGGGCGGCGGGGACGGCGCGGTGGGAGCGGGTCAGCGAGCCGCACGACGTCAACGAGCCCATCGAGGACAGCAACCGGTTCAGCGAGTACGCGGTTGCCGGGAAGCTGCATATCAGCCAGTTCGAGCGGTTCGAGGAGCTCTTCGACTCGATCGAGATCGGGCCGAACAACTTCTTCATTGTGCGGTGGCTTGCGGAGATCCTGGCGCAGGGGATCGCGCGGAATCTCACCGAGGGCCATATCAAGGCGCTGATCGCGAAGGCGAATTACTCGAATGTTGAGTTTGAGGGGCGCAGGGAGAATGGCCGGTGTGATGGGTATTTGCCGTGGGATCGGGCGCTGATGGAGCATTTTGGCGAGGATGCGATTAGTCGGTGGGTGGAGCAGTCGAGGAGGGTTCGCCAGGCGAGGAGGAGAGAGGAGAGAGAGGAGCACTTTCTGCGCGGCAGGTCGGCGAGTCCTGCGCTGCAGGGACCGGCTGGGAGGAATTAATATGTGAAACGAAGCCCTGGAGGCTGGAGATCCTCCCACTGAAGTTGATAGTAGGCTAGAAGAGGATCAGGTGGATTTGTGTTTTGGTACTTCATGGCGTTCTTGTTTGTCTTATATAAAACTGTCTTAGATAGCCCGAGTTTTGGTTTTACTTGCAGATTGTATGGTATATATTATATCCTTATGAACCTGTGCTGAAGTATCAACTTTCCAAGTATACACAATTCTAGGCAGTCGAGCACTTGATGAATAGGGTCGGACAGCTCATAATCCTGCATTTCCCTCCAATATCGCTGTGCCGATATGACCAGGTTCACTGCTCTTCGGGCATCTTTCCATGGCAGACCTTGTTCATTACGCAGAGAAAGAAGCATGGTAGGCTATGGAAACGCAAACCGAAAGCCGTTGAGGCGTCATATCTGCTCTATGTCTCTCAAGCCCCAGACACACGCTACGGATGAACTGTGCTTATCATAGAATCAAGTAGGAACTATGTAGATAGTCAAGTGCCTTGGTGTGCACCTGGCCTAGATGAGAGATGAGAGCGCAGCATATACCCAGGAAAACACTCCAAGTTGATACTGATGAAGACACTCCATTCTTCGCGCGGGGATACGCTCATCGGTTCGAGAGACTGATGTTATAACCACCGTCAAAGCTTCGTTTACATTTACAAAGTTCGTGCCAATGTAGATAGCTAGGGCTAATATGTAACTTGCTCGAGCGTTGCCTTTCGTGCTCTGCGTATTGGGCTCCATTGCTATTAGGAACCTTCGCCCTAGATATGGCGATCTTCATCTGCAATATGCGATTTGACTTGGCCATGCCTCACTTTTTCCTCACTCGTACTTCCGAGTTCTATAAATACCCTTACTTCTCTTTCTTTCCTACATATTTCTCCTTGACTACGCTTTTCCACTTATAAGGCCGTTGCCTTCTTACCTCTATAAGCTCTCTTCCTCTCTCCAATCTTTGACCACTCTTTTCTTCAAACATATCTCATCTCCTTTCCTTTATACTTCCATACCTGCCTGGTGACTCTAACTCTCTTCTCATACGAAACATCTTCCAAACGTCTCCAGATACATCATCGAAGTCAAAACCACCTCACTTCGGCACTGAATGGTCTTCCGCTTCGTCATATTCATTCCAACGCCGAATCTCAATCTCAGTATCTCATTCATTCGAACTTTGACTCCAAGATCGCCCAATACCTTCTCACACCCAAACATCCATCCAATCCCCACCACTCAATCACAAGAAGACATCCAAGTAAGTCCTAACCCTCACCTTTCATCCAACCCCAACCCACCAACCTAACCAACAACAGCCACCAAAATGCCCTCCAAACCCAAACCCCAACAACCCAAGTCCAAACAACCCAACCCCAAACCCCCCACCCCAACC